TTGGTCTCTCCGAAACTCACGGGTTGGGATTCCAATCCCCCAGTGCCTCAGAAGGTGACCTTGTGTGGAAGTAGGGTCATGACAGGTCCTGAGGTCGTCGAGGGGGCCCCTGCTCCCACATGACTGGCGCCCTTTTATAAAGGGGAATTTGGAGGCAGGCACAGAGAGGACATCCGCCAGCAAGGCGAGGAGATCCAGCCCCGCCAGCCCCGCGGCCTGGGGCGTCCGGCCTCTGGGACGGGAGACCTACGTTCCCCTCGTTCGAGCCGCCCCGTCGGCGCTGCTTCCTTGCTGGCAGAGGGATTCTGCCTTATAGTTAAGGAGACTCGTCCGCGATCTCTGAGTCAATCAGAAGGAGAGTCTCTGGGTGGGCCCCGTCTTGCGCACGAGCCCTTTGAAAGCAGGACGTTTTCTCTGGCGGGACGCCGAGGAGGCGGAGGTTTGGGGCCCGGGGCCTCTGGCACACCCTGCCTGGCGTTACAGATGGGGGGCCGCAAGCCGAGCAATGAGGCAGCCCTTAGGAACAGAGCAGATGGCAGCCAGCAGCAACAGGGCCCGGCCCACCGCCACAGGGTCTGCATGAGCTGCAGGCGAGAGCCCAGCCCCGCTGACGCGGCCGCAGCCTCGCGAGCCCCCCGGGGACAGACGGAGCCAGGCTGCGCTCGGACTCACACTTGCAGCACCATGCTGCAAGGGGCGAGGTGTTGCCTACAGCAGCAAAGTCCGTGGCGACTTGTTACGTAGCAAAGGCAGCTGATACATGAGGCCTCTTTCCTGTGGGAGTCCCGTCGTCCACGCGCGTCCGGCTGCCCCTTCCCGGGTGCCTCAGCCCATCCCTCCGCCTCTAATTTCCTCACACGCTGGCTCTTGGGTCCGAAGGCCCCGTGGACCGAAAACAAAGGACTTGGGTGAGAGAACTTTTTAGGTGACGCTGTGGTCACCACGTGGCCTCGTGGGCTGGTTGTCCCTCCACTGCCATGGCTGGGTTAGGGCCGGCTGCGCAGCCCTGCTCCGGTGCTCCGTGTGGACCCCACGTGCATCTAAGGACTGTGGCCCCAGGAGCGTCCTTGCGGGGCCCTGCCACCTGCTTCATCCGCGTCTCGTGCCCCAGAGTCAGCCACGCTCTTCTGCGAGGGCTGCTTCTCCCCGTGGAGGGGAGCCAGGCGCACACCCTGTCACGTAACTGCTGCCGAAAAGGCAGGAAAATGCGCGCCATCCTCTCTCTCTAATCACCCGTTTCCAGAGGAAGGCATGTGTCCTGGCAGCCTCAGCCGTGACCCCGCGGGGCTGCTTCTCTGAGCCTCCTTGTGGGGACGAGTCACAGAGATTCAGCAGTGTCCCCCAGCACGCCCACACCCCAGTCCCTGGCACCTGGGGCATGTCACCTCTGCTGGCAAGAGGAACTTCACGGATGTGATGAGGTGCAGGCTCTCGATGGGGGCTCCCAGATCGTCACAGTGGCCCCGTGGTGTCATAGGGTCCTCGGAGAAGGGAGGGGGAGGGACCAAAGCCAAGGTCAGAGTGGCGTGAGGACGGGACCCCGAGAACTCGCAGAGGCGGGAGACTGCCCAGAGCCTCCAGAAGGAACCAGCCCTGCCCATACTTGGATTTTGGGACTCTGGCCCCCAGGATTATGAGATGGTAGATTTGCGTTTTTCTGAGCCACTAAATTTGGGGTGATCTGTCACAGCCGCGGCAGGAAACTCCTCACCGTGATTTAATCATTGCCAGTCCCGGTGCTCCCCTGTCCCTGCCGGGTCCAGTGAGAGCCCTTCCAGCTGGGATCTGTACCCTCCTCCCCAACTTCTCTTTATTGTGGATGATACAAGTAACACAGAATTTACCATCTTAACTGTTTTTAAGGGCACAGTTCAGGGCATCTGCACATTCACGTTGTGCAGCCATCCCCAGAATGCGTTCATCTTCCCAAACTAAACTGTCCCCGTGAAACACTGTCCCCTCCCTCAGCCCCAGCCTGCCCCCCGGGTCTGTGGGTCCGACTCCTGTGGCCTCCTGGGCGTTTCCATTCATACAGAATCGGTCCCGGTGTGCTGGGCCGACCTCACTGGGCACCGTTTCCTCCAGCTTCATCCACGTTGTAGCAGGTGTCAGGATGCCTTCCTTTGAAAGGCTGAGTGATAGTCCGTGGTGCGGATGGACCACCGCGGCTGCAGCATCTCGCATTCCCAGCAGCAGGGCCCAGGGCTCCAGTTTCTCCACGTCCATGCCAGCACCTTTATTTTCTGTGCGTTGATAGCAGCCGTCCCGGCGAGTGCAAGGTGGTATCGCACTGTAGTTTTGACTCGCACTTCCCTGGTGACTGGCGGTGCTGAGCATCTTTCTGTGGGCTCGCAGGCCCCAGGCTGCAGCCCAGGCATCGCCCCAACCAGGCGACAGTGACCACTGTCCGGACAGCTCCGGTTCACCTCTCCTGACATGGGGCTGTGGGTGAGGATCCCCAGGACCCCGCGGGCGCACACAGGGTCCTGGGGATTCTCAGGTTTGGCTTCAGAGGGTGGAGGGAGGCGCCTGTCTGGGGATCCCCTGGCCTGCGCTCTGCCTGCCGCTCGGTTGTTCGGCGCTACTTTTCACGAAGCCTCTGCGTCTCCCTGGGTTCCGGAGGCTCTTGGGCCAGCCCAAGAGGCCCTGCAGGCCTCACCTGCTCCCAGCTCCCTCTCCAGCCCAGCCGCCCAGTCCCCCCCGAGACGGCGTCCAGCAGGCCCTTGAAGGATGTCCAGAACAGATCTGGTAGCCCACCGCATCTGCTCCTCCTGTCCTCCCCATTCCCTCAGCCCTGATGGACTCCCCCGCCATCCAGTCCTCCAGAAGCCTGACTACTTCCACCTGTCCTGTCCTCCTCTGCCCGGCCCAGCCCCTCTTGGCACAGAAGATGCAAAGTGACCACCCCTTCCACAGGGCTGCTCTTGTGGTAGGGGTGAAGCAGTGTTGGCCGTGCTTGAGGAAAGGGAGCCTGCTCTTTTCATCCGCCTCTCCCGCCATGGCCTTGGGGCTCGAGTTTGTCCAGCCCCGGTGGGAGCGGGCAGTTTGGGACACTCCTCGCGGTGCGCCATGGCCAGGGAATGTGGCGCCTCGGGCCACTGCCCCGTGCCCGGGGAGGGGGGAGGTCTCTCCTCCACACACAGGGACCAGGGACCAGGGACCATATACTAAACTGGATGATCATTTTCGAAGTAAATCAAACCTTATGTAAGTGCTGCAGTGGCCAGCTGGAAGGACCTCTGCCACCCACCCCATACAGAATGGCATCGACGGTTGCCTGGTGGTCCCTCTGTGCACATCAGCAATGATTTCCGTTAGGTCACGTCATACCGAACACTGGAAAAACCTTCCCTTGTCACCTCTTATCCTGGACCTCAGAAGCCATCACCACGTGAGGACCGAAGGCTCTCCCAAAATCCAGGAACAGGAGAACACACAGCAGCCATGGTGGATGGGCCAGATGTGCGGGCTTCCCTGCCGTGGATGGGACGCATTGGCCAACACTGCCCAGGAACCGCGAGCTCGTGTCCTGTCTGCGGGTGAAAACGCATCCCAAGGAGCCCTTCGGCTTCCCTGCCCCTCCTGGGGTGGCCGGGTGAGCGTCCCTGCCATCCGGCCCTGCTCCGTTACTGACCGACACACGCGGAAGCCTTGGCATTGCCCGGTGGCCGGCGCTGCATAGCCCAGCGCTCACGGGGTGCAGCCCCGCTCCGTGTCGCTCCGCAGGGAGGGGGACAAGGGGCCACCATCTCCTCACCTCCTTCCCCCAGGGGCAGGCAGGGGGCTTTGCCCACATAAACACCTCGTTCCTTTAGGGCAGATTCCTGACAGGGAACGTGGTCCAGGGAGATGCTAGGGGTTTGCTGAGACCACCAAATGGCTCTGCACCAGACCTTCCTGCCTCTCCACATCTGGGGAGGGGCCAGGCAGGGGCTGGGGGTTCTGAGGCCCACCTTCCTCCCCCAGACCGTCCGTAAGCCAGACAAGCGGGAGCCCCTGGCCTGGGCGTCAGGGTTTGGGCAAGTCAGCAAGGCCTGGAGCTGCTGACCACTGTGGAGGACAGCCGTGCATCTCAGCACCTCCTGCACCCGGCGGGCTCCAGCCGGAGCCTCGGCGCCCCCAGCACCCACACCTGCCGGCTGTTACCCAGCAGAGCCACCTCACCTGCCTGCTCCTGGCCCCATTTCTCCCTGCCTCCATCTCCTGGGGAAGCCACCTCCTACCTCAGTGCCTCATCGCCCCACTTTGCAAAACCGAAATCTGCCCTGTCTCCTCGGGCTGTTCAGTTCGCTGCGGTGACCAGAGCCGTCCCCAGCGGGGCATCAGGTGCAGACGGGGCTCCACGAAGCAGCTGCTTTGTCCAAAGCAGGGCTCTTGTGCCTGGCACGGAGCCGAGCCAAGCATATGGGCACCACTCGGTGAGTGCCCCCATGGACTCGCCCATAGCCCTGGGAGGTAGGGGATGGGGAGGATGGACAGACAGACCGCACATTTCCCACCTGGCCGGGGTGGACCCACCCAACCTGAGCAGGCACCAGGGGTAGGGCCCGGAAGGTGGGCACCGCTCTGGGCAGGCCATCCGGAGCCGCACCTGGCTCCCAGGACCTGCAGGCCACCTGGGACTTGGGCACAGGGCGGCGGATCACCAACGCTCGTGGGCTCCGGCGGCTCCTGCCTGCAGAGGTGAGTGGCCAAGAGCCACCAGCTGTCACCGCGCCACTACTGCTCCCCTCCCCCAGCGCCGCCGTGACTGTCGTGATTCTTACTACTACTTCCGTTGCAAGGCGGCCCTGGCCTGTGGGCGCCGAGACCCCTCCCTACGGGGTTCCTCCGCGCGGGGAGGGAAGGGGCCCGCGCGTCCTGCCGTCCCCTGCCTCTCGGTGGTGCCCCCCCGCCCCCCGCCGGGCCGATCCACTGCGGCGGCGGCGCGGGGAGCGCGGGGCGGGGCGCGGAGACGGGAGCACCGCCCCCGCCGCCTCCCGCCCGTGCGCTCCCGCAGGATGGCGCGGGCCAAGCTGCCGCGCTCGCCGTCCGAGGGCAAGGCGGGCCCGGGGGGCGCCTCGGCCGGCGCCTCGGCACCGGAGGAGCCGCACGGGCTCAGCCCGCTGCTGCCGGCCCGCGGTGGGGGCTCCGTGGGCAGCGACGTGGGCCAGAGGTAGGGGCGCGCGCCGGGGGACCCCGCGTGCCGCCGGGAGGGGCTTTGCTTCTGCCGCTCGCATCCCGCACGGGCTCGGCTGAGCTGCACCTGCCGAGTCGCCTCAGCCCCAGGAAGGGGGGGGATGGCCGGGTTCCCCCTTCGGAACCCTCACCCAGGCGTCCGGAGCCTATGCTCCCCGCCCCCCCAACTCTCTCCTGCTCTCAGTAGCTGGTACCGTGGGCCTGCAGGTAAGACTGGAGGGGAGAGGGAAGACAGGACCCACACACTGTGCCAGGTGGCTCGGTGACCCCTGCCCGGCCCTGGTCCACTGAGCCCACACTCCTTTTGGTTCCAGCGGCCGCTTGTGGGGAGGCAGGGCCAGCGTCCGCATCCCCACTTAAGAGGCGGGCAGCATGAGGCCCAGGGAGGTTGGGGGCCTGGCCAAAGGCTGCACAGCAGATTGGAGCTGGGACACAGTCAGGTCTCAGGATCTCTGGGGACAAGGGACCGGAGCTAGTGGCACCCAGGGTGCAGGAGGCCCGTTTCCTGGGGAGGGGGTCCACTTGGGGAGGGGGCATCACAGGCCCTTCTCCGGCTCCTCCCAGGGGCAGGGTTGAACACAGCACCCCCATTTCCCGGGTGAGGACACTGAGGCTGGGTCTGCAGCACTAGTACTTAGCCAACAGCTTCTCTGTGCAGGGAGCCCTTCTAGATGCTGCGGGGGGAACAGATGAATCAGACCTGCCCTGGTGTAGGCACACGTCGTGGGCACAGAATCCTGTGTCTGGCAGAGAGGTGCAGGCTGGGCCAGGGTGAGGAGAGCGGGGGCTCCCAGGGCCACTGGCCTCCAGGGAGGGGCACCAGCAGCCAGGGCCGAAGCCCGGGGGTGGGGGTGCCAGGCCTCATTAAGGTTGGGGCGGAGGTTGGCAGGGACTTGGCCTGGCAGATGGCAGGATCAGGAGTGCCTAGGGAGCCTCTCCCCTGCCCCTCCTGCCTGGCTACAGGCTGTCCAGGCCCCTCCCTGCCTTCACACCCGTTTCTGGCTCCTCAGAGCACCCCGGGGGGGGGGGGTGCTGCCCAGCAGTTATCCCCATTCCCTGGACCAGACTGCTAAGGCTGGAGATTAAGTGCCTCTAAGAGGCCCCAGAGCAGCTAATGAGTAGCCTGGATGGGAAGGAAGCAAGTGCTGGCCAAGGCCCTGAGGACAGACTCCTCTCCTCTCCATCGCCTCTTGGACGCTATGGGGGGCAGTGACTCCAGAGGCTCTGGTTACAGCCAGCCCAGCCCCTGGAAGAGATTGGCTCCCCTTGCTGTCCCTGTTCCTGCAGGGACGCAGAGATGGCAGGTCCTGCCCAGGCTGCATCTGAGCCTGCAGTGCAGAATGGGAGCTCAGATGGCAAGGCCACCTCCTCCAGGAAGCCCTGTCCCGTCCCCGCACTCTCCTGCCCCGGGTTCTGGGCTGGTGCTTACATGAGTGACTCGTTCTGTGCCCAGCAGCCCCTGAAGTACGGGGTCCCTATCAGCCTCCTTCTGCAGAGCAAAGGGAATTGTCTAGCTGCACAATATCAGGGCCTAGAGCCCTGCAGCCTCATGTCCCCGGACTTTAGACACACTCCATGGAGTTCATTCTGGACAGGAGCAGAGAGCGCCCACAACAGGTTCCTGAGCAGAGACGAACTTGCAGGGCTCCTTAGGAACTCAGGCGTGACGGAGCATCCTGCACAACTAGGGTGCTGAGAACCTTTGTCAGAGGGAGCCAGGGGGACACAGCTCCTAAAGCTGGTCACATCTGCATGCCTGGCTGCCTTCTGGGGCCAGCCAGTGTCAGAGCTCCCTGGGCCATGAGGCAGCACTGGCCTTCCCCAGGGTGGCCCAGAGCCTTCCGGAGGCCTCACCATGGCTGGGAGAGCCTGCTCCCAATGCCATGCCCAAGCCCCCCCCCCAACCCGCCAACACAGTGCACCCTAGTCACAGGGACAGTGTGGGCCAGCATGGGTCCCCCCACCACACACACACACACCGCCAGCCTAGGCTCCCTGGGCTCTGAGCTCATAGGTCTTCTCCTTCCTCTGTCCCTCCCCTTCCCCATGATTTGTGAGGCCAGGAGTGGAGGGGAACAATGGTTAGAAACTGTGACGTGGGGGTGGGAGCGATGAAGCCCATCATCCAAGAGCTTTTGAGCAAGGGGTCCAGTGAACCCTCCACATGAGTCAGCACTGCTCTGGGGCCCCCTTGTGCCCCCAGCAAACCTGGGGCTGGGTACCCTTGCCCTTCCCAGGTGCTGTGGCAGGTCAGGCACGCTGACCTGGAAGGACACACAGGGTGGGAGAGGAAAGGCCTGATTACTGGGAACCCCCTGTCAGGGTTGGGGTTCTTCTGCAAAGGAGGGGCTCACGGGTATACCCTTGGAGGGGACACCTGAGTGGGTAGCCTGAAAGGCATGATGGCAGCCCCAGTGAGAAAGGAAGGGCTGCAGAAAGATCTAGAAGGGAGAATCCGGGGTCTGGGAGTTGTGGGGAGTGCGGGCAGGGTGTGGGGGGCACCCCGTGGACAGCTGAGTTGGGAGAACTCCAGGGGCCAGTGTCCCTCCTGTGGGTGTGGATGCCCCAAGGGGAGGGAAGGAGCGGAAGGCCAGAGGCCAGGATGGAACTCAGGTCCTGTTTGAGGCAGCAGGCAGAGGCCGGGGTGTCCCCGGGGCAGAAAGAGAGGAAGAGGGGTCCCCAGGGAGGAGGGGGAGCTGGGGGGCCTGGGCGGAGGAGTCGTGCACTTGGCCGTCCAGCTGTCCGTGCCCCGCCATTGGTAGTTTCAGTGGAAGGGACATCCTCAGAGGGGTCTCACTCGGAGCTGGGCTGATGGGCAGGGTTTGGGGAGTAGAGGGTATCCCTGCCAGGGGGCTCCGCGCAAAGGCCCAGCGGTAGGGCGGGGCCTGGGGAGGCGGGGCCTGCGGGGTCGAGGCAGGGCCAGGAGAGGCGGGCCTGATGGGCGGGGTCTGTGGGGCGGGGCCGGAACAGGTGGCTGATCCCCGTGAGCCTCAGGTCGGGACTGCATTGAGTGGCCACTGGGCGCAGTCTGTCCTCCTGGCAGCGTCTCTGGTCACCGAGGATGGGCCTGGAGGGGCAGGGCCATCCCTGCTTGCAGGGCCCTGGGAGCTTCTGTGAATTGTGGGGCTGAGGACGGAAGGAGAGCAAGGACTGCAGGAAACACCTTTCCCTCTGCGCTCCCGCGTGGGGTCCTCCCCGGGCACTGCAAGCCCAGCACGTAACCTCCACATCTCGGGGTCCTTGGGGCTCCGATGTGGTCCTGCTTTCCTGCTGTTCTTCCCAGGACCGCATGTGATTGCCGTGACCCCGAGCCTGCCTGTCACAGTCCAACAGCAGCAGCAGAGCCCCTCCCCCACTGGTCCACTCACCCTCTTCCCCTTCATGCGACCCGTGCTCCTCCAGGAACCCTGCCACTCTCCACATCGCCCCCAGCACCCCCACCTACTCTCAGTGAGTTCCTAGCTCCACCGCAACAGCCGTGGTCCTGCCAGGCTCCTGCCACCCCGCACAGCTGTCACCCCAACTCAGGGCTCGGGGCAGTGCCAGGGCCAACGAAAGGGAACCTGAGCTGGGCAAACGTGTGGGATCTGCCAGAAGCTCCCAGTGACACCAGGCTGAGGCCTGGTGAAGCCTTGGCTTCCCGGGCTCCGTGTGGAGCCCAGCCCCTCCCCCTGTCCAGACCTCGTTCCCCGGAGTGTCCTGCGTCCCCGCCTTGCCGACCCAAGCACCAGGAGCTGCCGGCTGGGGCACCAGGAGAGGAGCCTGCCTGCCCAGAGGGCCCTGCACAGGGAGCAGTGGGCGGGGGCCTGCAGCCCTGCCCATGGCTAGGGGCTGCCCTGCCCTACAGGCCGGCTCCTTCCTCCCTACCAATGGCCTTGGGAGGCAGTGGGCCTCTCTGAACCTACGCTTTCTCTTCTGGAACATGGCTGCTTTGAGGACTAAGAGAGGTCCTGAAGTCTTCCAGATGGGCACGTCATCAGTAAAGAGTAGACTTTCTGCAAAGGGCACATACACCCCCGCCAGCCCCCCAGGGGCCAGTCCCCCGAGCCCCAGAGCTCCCACCAGCCTCCCCTCCAGCCCAGGCCCAGCCGTCTTGGCGTCAGCTGCATGTGGCCAGGCTGGCAGAACCCTAGGGCAGGGCCCAAAGGGCAGCAGCTCTGTGGTTGCTGGCCAGTGGAGGGGTGCACCTGGGCACCCTCTAAGAAGCCTCAGCACCCCTACCCTCTCACTGGGAAGTCAGGATGCAGGGCCCGTGGGCTCTATGGCCAGGCCCGCAGAGAGCAGGTAGCAGAGGAGGGGTGGGTAGACTTGAGACAAGGGAGCCTGGCTTTCATGTCTCGTGTGGGAACTGGCCCTTGCCGAGTCAGCTTGCCGGGTGGAAAGTGGGGCCTATCCCTGGAGCCGGGCTCATGGTGCCTGGGGCAGGCTTGGCGGGAGCAGGGACAGTGAGCGCTCGTCAAATGGGCTGATCCTGTCCTAATCCCTGGGCTGAAGGTGGGTGGCCTTGGTCTTGGCCTCGGGTGGGGTCCGGCCTGGGCAGGGGGCGCATGTGCTGGCTGCTGTGTTGTGCTGCTTTCTTGGGCACCGAGGGGGCCAGGCATGGTCACTGCCCCGCTGCAGGCTGCCGCCTGTGGGCTGCTCTGCCTGCCTAGGGGCTCCGTGGGTCGGGGGGGGCGCATGCACATGGGTGCGCCCCCACTTCCCTCGGATCCTGCCTAGAGCTTCCTTGAGTGTCCAGGAGCCCAGGCCCTCCATCCATCTGTCTTCTGTGTTGACGTGACCATCTGTGTCTGTCCCCAGGCTTCATGTGGAAGATTTCAGTCTGGACTCCTCTCTGTCTCAGTAAGTGCTTGCAGGGAGGGGGCCGAAGCAGGGACGGATAAGCATCCCTGCACCCGCAGCGGACTCTGGGAGGAGGGGGCTCAGGCCCTGCAGGCTATGGGGGGATACTCCAGGCAGGAGCAGGCTCGAGGTGGCACCGGCCACCACCTCCCTGCACCAGCAGGAGCTGCAGGCCTGGGCGATGAAGCTAAGGCCAAGGACAGGACGGTGGGCAGCCCTCCGGGGAGGAGCCCTGGAGTAGGAAACAGGGCTGTCCAGAGACAGAGACCCACAGCCTCCCACAGCAGTGGCCACAGCCCTTGGGAGTGGCCAGACAGTGGGAATGGGGACCCCGAGCCTTTGCCCATACGGGGACAGGCATGCAGATGGCTGCGGGGACCCTCCCGCCTCAGCCAGCCTGGGCAACCTGTGTCGTCCAGGCCCCCAGCACGAGGCTGTTCCTGGCTTCAGTTCAGACCTAGGTCAAGTGGAGTGTGGCCTTGAGGCCGGGGAGACCAGAGTCCTCCTCAGAGCAGCCACATCCTGCCCAGGCCCTCAGCGCTCAGGGTGGCCGCCAAGTGGGACCTGATTTGATTCATTCACGTTGTCAGCAGCGACACCGCTCCCTCGTGCTCCGGGCTGCTGACCTGTCTCCCTGCAGCCTGAGACTTGGGGCTGGGACTCTCCCATCAGGAGTGTGGGAGCCTGGAGGCTGGGCCGGCCCAGGCCCCCGTGGTGCGGTGGGTAACGGGCAGGTGGAAGGCAGGGCTCTCCCCGGCACCCCGGGCTGCCCGGGAGGATATGGACAGTGTGCAGCCACCCAAGGGGCTGAGGCTGCAGGGCCTGCCCCCCCAGAGTTGTCACTGGTAGAGCAGACCCCCCAGGCCACCCCAAGGAGGCTCTCCCAGGCCCCGGCCCAGCCGAGGGTGCCAGAACAAGGGCCCCTCTCCGACATGCATGCAGGAGGTCCCCGGCGGGACCGCTCTATATGGAAGGCCCAGACTGGGCCCATCTGCTGGTTTGAGAAGCCACTGTCCACTCTCCTCTTCCTCCGGTCCCCCGGCTGCTCCTCCAGGTTCCCGACCCAGGGGATGTCCCCTGCAGCGGGCCTGTGGCAGTGGGCAGCGCTAGAGGAAAGCCTTGCAGCGCCCCCCCACCCTCCAGCCTCCCTTTGAGGTGGACCCCGAGCCACCCCGATGAGGGTGGGGGTGCGGGAGGGATGTGGCCGCCAGCCTCCCACCAGCGAGTCTGCAGGTTTGGGCTGGGAGTGGCGGGGACAAGGAGCCTTCATGCCCACGCCACCACCCCCGCTGCCCCGCCGCCCCGCAGGCTCCCCAGCCAGTGCTCTGTGCCTCCACGCCCGGCTCCTTGCCCACAGGCCTCAGGGAGTGCCACTGTCCGGGGGTGGTGCCAGCCACATGTCTGTCCTGGTCTGGGTCCCCGGGCTGTGCCCAGGCTCTGCCCTTTCTCAGAATAGCTGGCCTCAGGGTTGGCAGGTGGGCCTGGGCCCTGCCCTTTCTCTTGCCCGTCAGTGTGTGGGTTCTGGTGCAGAGGGAGCTCCCAGGCGCCTGCCAGAAAGCCGGCAGCACACAGCGGCAGACCAGGGGAAGCGGGCAGTCGGATCTCGGCCCCATGTGAGTGCACGGCTGTTGTGGCCACGCGGGTGGGCCTGGCCCGTGGGCCGTGTGCTTAATGTCTGGCCACCCTCCCCTCAGGCCAACCGCGGTGCCCTGCCTTTGGAGCTTCCCAGCACAGGCCATCCTTGCCAGAGCCACCTGCCAAGATGCCCCAGGGCCTGCCTGTTGGCCCACCGGTCAGCCTGCTGGTCAGCAGGGAGCTGGACGGCCCCCAGCCTCCCCCTGCCCGGCTCGCCTGGCAGGTCCTCGCACCGGGTGGGTGAGGTTTGAGCTGCTTTGCCAGAGCAAGGGGAGCTCCTTGGGTCCACTGCGGCGTGGGCAAGACTGTGGGGCCCAGGCAGGCGGTGGGCCTTGCTCAAACACAAGCCAGGTGGGGATGGGGCAGAGCCAGCTAGGGACTGACCTTCCACCCCAAAGATTCAAGAGGCCCTGGTCCCATGGGGAGCCCAGAGCCCCCAGTGCCTATGACCCACAGGGTGATCCTGGCCAGTCTCGGGCCTTGCTGGACCTTCCTTCCCATGCATGGAGGGATGAATCTGGCTGGAGCCCTCTGAGGGGCCCCATGGCAGGACTCAGCGAGATGGCCCTTCTGTCTGCTTGGCCTGGACCCCTGTCCTCACCAGCCTGAGAGCTACTCAGTCTGTGGAGAGAGGAGCCAGGGCTGAGGACTGTCCCAGGGACGGGACCCAGGTTTGGCCTGTCCAGTCCCCGGGGCTGGTGGCTTGACCCCAGGCGGTATGCTGGCTGTCTGAGACACAGGCTCCCTGCAGCCTCCGGGCCCCAGACCAGGCCTATCCGGTGCACGCCCGTGGGGCACCCCTCTCAGACCGGGCCCCCAGCAGCAGGCAGCAGTGGCCTTGGCGCGCCCAGCCCTCCCCTCCAGGCCTCTCACCGAGAACAGACGCGTAGGAAGGTAGACCCCTTCACTCCGCCCCGGCCTGTGGTGCCCAGGTGGTGTTCGCTGGCCGCTGGATGCCGACGCCGAGCTCCGAGGCCGCTGTACCGTGTGTGGGTTCCCAGGGCCCCTCTCCCGGCCCTCCTGCGGTGGCTTCCTGTGAGCTTGGTCACCCGGCCCGTCACAGGGCCTTGAGCCATAGCTGGACCAGCCATCGGGGGAGGGGGCGGCCCCTGCCAGGGTCACACCCCTGCCCACGGAGGGTATGGGCCACGCGCCGTCTGCAGCCACACACGTGGATTTATGGCCCAGGGCCTGTCTTCCTCAGGGTGATGTGAGCGACAGAGCGGGCCGCTGTAGGACCCAGAATCAGATCAGCCCTGATTGCTGGCACCATCAGAGCCAGTGGGTGCCAGGCCCCAGTCCCTGCACTGGGGCGGTCTTACTTAATCCATCCGGGAACGAGCGGTTGGCCAGACTTCACAGGGAGGAGCCTGAGGTGCAGGGAGGACAGGTAAAGTCTCCAGAGCCAATGGCCCCGGCCTGGCACCCTCAAGACGCCGTGGCAGACGGTCCTGTCACTGTTCATTCCCCCGGTGAGGAGGCTGGGGCTCAGACAGGTGCAGGGGCCACGGAGCAGCCAGGCAGCGGAGGGCCAGGGCCTCGGGCAGGCCAGACCGCCTGTGACCCCAGGCCCCCTTGCTTCTTCCCACCAGCTTGCCGAGCCCAGAGCGCATCCTTCAGCCAGGCCCAGCCTGTGCGGTGAACCTGGGGCTTCGGGGTCTGCGCGGCTCTGGAAGGCATTTCCTCATGGGCCGGCCTCATTACGCTCATCACCACCTATGTCTCAGGATAAAAGACAGCTTGTAATTTGCTCTCCATGGCAGTGCTAGAAGTGGGCAGCCACCGCTCATGAAACCTTAAAAGTGGGGGAGGCTTCCTGACGCTCCCTGGCCCTGCAGGCTCGATCCACGCGGCCACGTCCGCCAGCCCTTCCCGCCCCCACCTGCAGGCCGCTGACCACCGACTGCCTTGGGGGGGCTGTCCCGATGGGTGTCTGCAGCCGCCCCCACAAGGGGACAAGGTCCAGCCGAGGAGTGACTAGGGTTCCACTTCTGGGGGGAGGGGACAGGGGACGTGGAAACGAAGGTGTCCGGGGCCCAACCAGCCCCAGGTCAGCAGTCCTGGCCCCATGGGCCTGGGCAGCAGGGAAAGACCAGGAAAGGCATCTGTGCAGCAAAGGGCTGGTGGGAAGTGGGGCGGGGGCAAGGTCGGGTTAGGTTTGGGGGTGCCCGGGAAGGAGCTGGGAGTCCCCGGGTTTTCCCAACAGGGAAAGCTGGAAGGAGCTAGGGACTCTGGTCTCTTGCTCTTTGTCTCACCTACTGGCCTCCAGCAGGAACAGGCAGGGGAGGCAGAAGTGGTGGGACCCCCGGAAGGGAGCGGAGCCCGCAGAATAGGGGCTCTCAGTGGCATAGAGGGTGTCCTGGGGGGGTGGTCTCAGGTCTGACGTGGGGAGGGGAGCCACCTCTGGCCTGGGGAAGGGCTGGTCCTGCTTGGTCTAGGGAGCAACACCCCAAGGGGCGATGTCAGAGGGCAGCTGGGGGCTCAGAGGAGAGCTGGGGTTTCGACGTCCGCTTGCAGAAGCAGGCCAGGTGGGCATCGAGAGGGACCTGCAACCAGTCCTGGGGCATCACACATTCAGAGCTGGGATCGGGGATAGCCAAGGAGTCTGGGGGAGAAGGAGGTGACCAGAGCAGGTGGGGTTAGGAGGGCAGCGTGGTCAGTGCCCTGGGAGGCTGAGGAGGAAGGAGCCCGACGGCCACCAGCCACCGGGGCCAGGCAGGGCCTTGCTGGCCAGGGAGCAAGCCCGAATAGATGGCACAAGTCGGGTGGGGAGACCCCTGTGTCTAGGCTTCGCCGGGAGAGGGCGGGAGCGTGGCGGGGCGGGTGTGTTCCTGAGCTGGGTGCTCTGGGGCCCCGGGGAGTCCCAACTCAGTGAGCTGCATCTGCCCCCTGACCTGACCAGACTGGGCCCAGGCCTAGCCAGGCTTCTCTGACCAGCTCCGCAAAGAGACCGTCAGGGGCCTCCCGCCCCAGCTCCAGGTGGCACCTATGGAGGAAGATAGGATTCAGGGGTTCCGAAGGAAGCTCCCTCCCAAAGAGGGAGCGCTCTAAGGAGAGAGAGGAAACAAGCTTATGCTACGGTACAGTGGGGTATGGGGCGTGTCCTGGGGGAAGGGGTGTCCTGGGGTAGGGGCGTGTGCCAGGGTACAGGGCGTGCCGGGGTACGGGGCGTGTCCTGGGGTACGGGGCGTGCCGGGGTACGGGGCGTGTCCTGGGGTACGGTGCGTGCCGGGGTACGGGGCGTGTCCTGGGGTACGGGGCGTGCCGGGGTACGGGGCGTGTCCTGGGGTACGGGGCGTGCCGGGGTACGGGGCGTGTCCTGGGGTACGGCGCGTGTCCTGGGGTATGGGGCGTGCCGGGGTACAGGGGTGTCTTGGGGTACGGGGCGTGTCCTGGGGTACGGGGTGTGCCGGGGTATGGGGCGTGCCGGGGTACGGGGCGTGTCCTGGGGTACGGGGCGTGCCGGGGTACGGGGCGTGTCCTGGGGTACGGCGCGTGCCGGGGTACGGGGCGTGTCCTGGGGTACGGCGCGTGTCCTGGGGTATGGGGCGTGCCGGGGTACAGGGGTGTCTTGGGGTACGGGGCGTGTCCTGGGGTACGGGGCGTGCCGGGGTATGGGGCGTGCCGGGGTACGGGGCGTGTCCTGGGGTACGGGGCGTGCCGGGGTACGGGGCGTGTCCTGGGGTACGGGGTGTGCCGGGGTATGGGGCGTGCCGGGGTACGGGGCGTGTCCTGGGGTACGGGGCGTGCCGGGGTACGGGGCGTGTCCTGGGGTATGGGGCGTGCCGGGGTACAGGGGTGTCTTGGGGTACGGGGCGTGTCCTGGGGTACAGGGCTTGTGGTGTACCATGCGGTACTTTGGCCACTGGCTCTGGGTTTCAACCTAGCTGGTCTATAGGAGGCCCTTCCTGTTGCTCGGCTCTAGGAGTCCAGGGTGTGGCTGGGTGACCGCCCTGCACCAGGACCCAGGAGTGGAGGGGCCCACACCACCCCTGCCTCTTTGGGGGCCCTTCTTGAGCCCTGTGACCAGCAGGGGCCACTGTGGCCAAGGCCCCCAGCCTGGAGCAGGTCAGGGAGGTGCCGGCGCCCTGCCCAAGGCCCCTCCCGAGGGCCCACCACCGGGGCCGGTCCAGACGGCGTCTGTGTCCCGCGCTCTGCCCAGAACAGGCTTTGGGGAGCAAGGATGGTTGCAGACCTTCTGGGAGATGGGGCAGCCCCAGGCAGAGCACCCCCGTAGCTGCCGTCAGGGTAAAAGCAGGGCTAATTTCTGCCTCGGTGGGAGCCGGGGCCTCTGTGCACAGCCCACCCACGGCAGGTCGGAGCCCCCTGCCCTGGTGCCCTAACCGTTCCGGGGGAACCAGCCCAGCACGCCGGGCCCAGCAGCCACAGGAGGCCCCCGTCTGCGGCCAGGGCAGTGGCGGGCAGTGGCCCTTTGCCCCAGGCTCTGTGTTACCCCCCAGGGACCAGACAGCCCTTCCCACAGCAACTCCCTCACTGACATGCTGGGTCTGCTGTGGTCTGTCCCAGGACGCTGGGAGCCTGGGCAGGACACGGAGCGTGTGGGCATTCGCCAGGTGTACGGGCAAGCCTGAGGGACGGAGAGCAGCTGGGGCCGGAGGGGCCCAGTGCTGGCCTGACGGCAAGTGCAGGGAAGGTCACGTCTTGCTGGCCCCTCGGCCTGACCATCTTGCAGGCTGCAGCGAGTCTCGGGGCACAGCCACCAGGGGCCAACAGACAGAGCAACCGACTATCAGCTTCCAGAACATTCTATATAGATGAGCTGGCATGTTTTGAGCCCATGCTGAGGGCCACACAGGGTGCATTTAATCCGGGTGGCTGGCTGCCTATGACAGTCAAGGCTGGGGGCCCATGGGTGTTCACCTCCAGGGGCCTGGAGGGCCCTGATGCTGAGTTGATGGCCACTGACCAGCCCCCAGCTGTGCCCAGTGGCTTTGCAAGTGTGGGTGGGCAGGTCTGCCAGAACCACGCAGGTGCATTGGTCACCGGGGGAGGGGGGGTGACCTCATCCTGCTGCCACCCTCTGTCTGTCTGCTGGGCTTCTGCAGTGTGGGAGTAGCCCGTCTGGCCCTGAGTGAGCCCCCGTCTGGCCCTGAGTGAGCCCCCACTGGCCAGAGCCCCCCATGCCCCTCTCCCCGCCCCCAGGGTCCAGGTGGAGTTCTACGTCAATGAGAACACCTTCAAGGAGCGGCTCAAGCTGTTCTTCATCAAAAACCAGAGATCCAGTGAGTGGGGGCCTGTGGGGGGCGGGGCCTGTGGGGGTGGCAGGGTGGGGGGGACGGGGGTTTGTCAGTGAGCCAGGGGGCATGTGTGGGTTAGGGGCCGGGGCAGAGGAGGAGCTATGTCAGTGAGTGGTGGGCGGGGGGCAGGGGGGGAAGGCCCCTGGTCTCACCTTCAGGCCACCTTCCCCTCAGTGGGAGGTGGGACCTGGAAACTATGGGGACCCTACCCCCCTGCTGGACACCGGGCTGGACTGGGCCCTCCTACCCACACCCTGCAAGGTTCCCTGGTCCCCTCCGTGCAACCCCACCCCTCCCCTGACAGGTTCCCTCCGCCTGCTTTCCCAGAAGGATCCGGGATGCAGGATGGGGCATGGAGGTGGTACCCCCAAGTCCTAGGCCATCAGTGTACCCCCCAGACCCCCCCAGTCCCAAGGAGTGAGTGGTGTGGGGAGCCATCTGCACCCCCATCTGTAAGGTGGGACAGGGATGGAGGCTCTCAGAGGCTGGCCCAGTAGCAGACCCTGACATGGGGGTCCCTCAGTCCCTGCGGACGGCCCAGCCCCGGGGGTCCCAGGTGCCCAGGGGGAGCTGTCGGCAGGGACTGCCATGGGACTCCGGTGGCCCAGAAGCCCTGACGTGCCCACCCCTCCACTGCAGGCCTGAGGATCCGGCTGTTCAACTTCTCCCTGAAGCTGCTTACCTGCTTGCTCTACATCGTCCGAGTCCTGCTCGACGACCCAGCCCTGGGGATTGGATGGTGGGTGAGCTGGAGGCTGCGGCAGCGAGGCCGATGGTGTCAGCATGGGGCGTGTGCCCAGCACCTGGCCCGACCCGGCCCCTTGGGGGGTCCTTCCTTCCCAGTGTCCTCCCCCACAGAGCTGGGCCCAGGATGCCGCACTCGGGGTCCTGCTGACCAACGCGCTCAGCCCCGGGGAGAAGGGCGCCCTGGCCGTGGACTGTGGGTGTGCATCCAGTGGTGCACGGGAGGGGTTCAGCAACCGGCTCTGTGCTGCCTTCCATCCATACCGGGGAGGAGGAAGGATTACAAGCCGGGGAGGAGGAAGGATTATAAGCCATGCAGGCCTCTTGGTTCCTTTCTCGGGGCTGCACGTGGTCCCACCTGCCCCTCCTGGGCTCCCCTCCCCAGCATGGAGCACAGGCGAAGACGGCCCACCCCCTTCAGGTCTGAGTTGTCCTGCAGGCTCACGAGTGCAGGGGAGTCAGCCTCGGCCCCTCTCACCGCGTGGTCTTCCTGCTACCGTTTCTGCTTGCCATCCATGTGGGAAGCACACTTGTCTTCCTGGCAGGCTGGTGGAATCTCTGTGCCTGTGTCTGGCAGTCTCTGGGCCACCTTGGCGTGGCCCCTTCTCTCCCACGCCAGACCATGGGGGACATGGCCTTGGAAGATTACACCCCTTCCCCTCCGCTGTCTCTGGGCTTCCGATGCCCGGGCCTATGGTTCTGGACGACCCTGTCTCCCCTGTTTCTCCGTTCATGCGACTTCCTTAGCTTTACCTCCAGCCTGGGCCCGATCTTTCTGCATCATGCTTTAATTTCTGAGAGCTCCTTCTCACTTCAGGCAGACACTGCCTTCCCATTTCTCCGGAGGTGACATCTGGAACCTGGATTCTTTCTTATGTTTTTCTCTTTGGCTCAGTCTCTGCTTCTCCTGAGCTCAGGCTGAGTGAGTTTCCCTAGCCACTCACACTAAGAGTGGGCACTCACATGCTGAGGGCCCCACGGTCAGGTCGGGCAGCCTGTCATCACTGTCATCTGGGTGAACAGGCTCACTCCTCAGAGCAGATTCTTCCCGCCTCTTCCCTGAGGGTAAACTGTGGCCACTGGGCTCCCAGGCCGAGCCAGGGAGGAAGCTGGGGCCTAAGGACAGTGCAAGTTGCACTTAACCCCCTGCGTGCAGCCAGGCCTGGTGTCCCCAAGCCAGAGACCCTCTTTCACCCTCCCTTAGAACCCCTCCTGTCTTCATCCCAGGTGAGGTTGCACAGATCCAGCCATGCTGGTTTGAGAAGGAAAACTTGGGACTCTGACTGACTCTCAAACAACTTTCCTGAGTTCATCCCACCTTCTCCCAATCCCAGAGGCTCCTGAGCATCTGGTTCCACAACCCTACAGGGACCAGGTCTATCATATTCATTGCCCAATGCCTAGCACATGGATGGGCAGGGGGGAGGGGAAATGAATGGAGGAGGGACCTGGTGGAAGTATGGGTAGAATGGGTGGATAGGTGGGTGGATGGATGAATTATGAATGAGTGCATGGTGGATGAATTGTTGGTTGGGTAGATGGATGGATGGATGGTGGATGAATGGTTGGATAGATGGACAGATGAACTACGGATAGTGGATGGCTGGTAGATGAATGGCTGGATGGATGGTGGATGGATGGATGGATGGTAGGTGGCTGGCTGGCTGGCTGGATAGTAGATGAATGGTTGGATGAATGGTGGATGGATGGATGGATGAATGGTTGGGTGGTGGATGGATGAATGGGTGGTGGATGGATGGATGGATGGATGGATGGATGGTAGGTGGATGGTTGGATGGATGATGGGTGGATGGATGAATGGTTGGATGGATGGTAGATGGATGGATGGATGGATAGTGGATGGATGGTAGGTGGATGGATGGATGGATGGATGGATGGATGGATAGTACATGATGGATGGATGGATGGATGGATGGATGGATAGTGGATGGATGGGTGGATGGTTGGATGGATGGTGGATGGATAGATGGATGAATGGTTGGATGGATGGTAAGTGGAAGGATGGATGGATGGATGGATGGTTTTGGATGGATGGATGAATGGATGGATGGATGGTTGGATAGATGAATAGTAGATGAATGGTTGGATGGATGGATGGATGGTGGATGGTGGATGGATGGATGGATGGATGGATGGATGGTAGATGGATGGTGGGTGGGTGGGAGGATATCCAGCCACATCTGTGAGCATTGAGTTTGCAACAATAGCCCCAGTAAGGCTCAGGGGAAGTGGGTCAGTTAGAAGAAAAGGAGGAGGGAGCTGCCTATCACCATGGGGCTCTGTGAGAGCGAGGTCCCCTCGGTCAGTGATTGGTTACATCCTGGGGCAGAATGAACAGGTCCGCCATGCCCCCACCACCTTCCCAGGGGCTGGGCATCCAGCTGGTGTAGAGAGGCTTGTTCTTGAGAGTGACTCAGAGACACGTGTCTTGGAGTCAGCACCTCAGGGTGGGAGCTCAGCTCTCTCCCCCATCTCTCATGCACCGTCCAGCCTTGTTTGTGGCAGCTCCGGTCTCCGGGAGGCTCTGAGTGCCCCATGGTCCCATCTCTGACATGCACAACCCTCCCCAGCAACTTCCTATCAGACCAGGCAGAATCCTCAGCTTCCCCACCCCAGCATGGTGTGCTTTCCCACCCTGCCTGCCTGGGGGTCTGGCGGGTGGTGGCAGGCTGCATTTCAGCCTGTCTGAGATACGGGGAGCTGGCCCTGGGTGGGGTGGGGTGGGTGGCCACCCACCGTGCTCCCTGAGCCCACGGCAACCTTGGGAAGTGTCTCTTCAGGGGCTCGGCTGGGCCAGCTCTGTCTCTCCACAGCTGGGGCTGCCCAAAGCAGAATTACACCTTCAATGGCTCATCCTCCGAGATCAATTGGTGAGTCCCCTGGCCAGTCTGGGACCTTGCCCTGGCCCAGCCCCTCGGGACAGAAGCGCAGCCTTGGCCCGGGTGCTGGGCAGCGCTGGGATGCCCCTCAGACCACCTGAGGGCTCGGGGGCCATGTTAGAATGATAGGCGTCACCACAGGGGACTTGAATCAGCAGCCTCCTTCCCGGCCCCCACCCCTGCTCCAGCTCAGCCCGCAGACCGTGGGTGGGGAGGGGGGCAGCTGGAGGGCCTCAGCGACGTAGCTACTCCTCCTGTGGGTGACACGTTCACCCAAGGAGAGCCGTGGCCCCAGAGCGACCACGGTGCCTGGTCCAGAGTTTAGGACGCGTCTCCTGGGGCTCGGCCACCTCCCGTAGGACCACCAGCATTCCAGCAGACGCTGCCCCTCCCCGGCTGGGCTGCACCTCCCTGAGCCCCAGAGCCAGGCTGGGCTGGGGAGGAAGGGAGCCCCGGGCTCAGTCTGCACTTGCCCCAGTGAGCCCGTCCAGGGCGAAGGGCCCCCTGAGCCTGCAGCGCTGCCCCACACCCCCCAGCTTCTGGCCTGCCTCCTTTCCCCTTCCCCTCCTGTTCTTTCCCTCCATCTGCCCAAGGAGCAGCTTGGGGTCAGCAGAGGCCCCGGGGCTGGGGGACAACAGCCCGAGGCTCACCTCCCTCCCTCCCCAGGGCGCCCATCCTCTGGGTGGAAAGAAAGATGACTCTGTGGGCTATTCAGGTGAGTGGGGGGCATGGCTCCGGGTGGGCCCTGCTCCCCCCAGCCCCACTCAGGCTCCACCCCTCCTAGGTCATCGTGGCCATAATAAGCTTCCTGGAGACAATGCTCCTCATTTACCTCAGCTACAAAGTGAGTACCCCCACCTGGCCTGACCCTTTCCTCTGACCCCCTACCCCACTCCTGGCTGGCTCGCCCCCCCCACTCCCTGACCTCCGCCCCACTCCCTGACCTCCTGGCTGGCTCGTCCCCCCCCACTCCACTCCCTGACCTCCACCCCACTCCCTGACCTCCAGGCTGGCTCATCCCCCCCACCCCACTCCCTGACCTCCACCCTACTCCCTGACCTCCTGGCTGGCTCGTCCCCCCCCCGACCTCCACCCCACTCCCTGACCTCCAGGCTGGCTCATCCCCCCCCCCCCCACTCCCTGACCTCCACCCTACTCCCTGACCTCCTGGCTGGCTCGTCCCCCCCCACCCCACTCCCTGACCTCCACCCCACTCCCTGACCTCCTGGCTGGCTCGTTCCCCTCCACCCCACTCCCTGACCTCCACCCCACTCCCTGACCTCCAGGCTGGTTCGTCCCCCTCCACCCCACTCCCTGACCTCCAGGCTGGCTCGTCCCCCCCATCCCACTCCCTGACCTCCACCCCACTCCCTGACCTCCAGGCTGGCTCATCCCCCCCACCCCACTCCCTGACCTCCAGGCTGGTTCGTCCCCCCCACCCCACTCCCTGACCTCCACCCCACTCCCTGACCTCCTGGCTGGCTCGTCCCCCACCCCCACCCCACTCCCTGACCTCCACCTCATTCCCTGACCTCCTGGCTGGTTTGTCTTTCTCTTCCTGCCCCCACGGTCCCCAGGGGAACATCTGGGAGCAGATCTTCCGTGTCTCTTTCGTCCTGGAGATGATCAACACACTGCCCTTCATCGTCACGGTGGGTGAGCAGCCAGGTGAGGAGTGGGGCACCCCCAGTGCCAGCCCCCTGACTCGTCTCCTCCACAGATATTCTGGGCGCCCCTGAGGAACCTGTTCATCCCTGTGTTTCTGAACTGTTGGCTGGCCAAGCATGCCCTGGAAAACATGATCGTAAGCCGCGGGCTGGGCAGCTGCCATCCTCCTGGCCTGGGTGGTGAGCCCCCCAGGATGCCACCAGCCTGGCGGGGAGCTGGCCACCGTCCCTCGGTGCCCCAGGAGGCCAGGGTGATAAGCAGAAGCATGCTATGTCTGTCACCGCGAAAGGCCGGTCTCCGCCCTTCCGTCTCTGTCCTGACCAGGACTGACCTCCGTCTCGTGCTACAGAGGAGGTTCAGCCTGGAGCTTTGCCTGAGCCCAGGAAATAAGTGGCTGCAGGGAGGAGGGGCGAGAGCAAATGGGCCACAAAGACCAGGACCACGTGACCCGGGCCCACGGACAGACCCTCCGCTGAGTGTCTGGCCAAGACCCCTTTACAGAGCTGTCAGCAGGCAGCCTGACACAGGTTCCTCCCCAGGGCTCCCCCCTCCGAGTCCAGGCCCCCTGGGATCACCCCCATCCTAACAAAGCCAGGGCCTTCCAGTCCTGTGCCCCCACCCACCCCCACAGTGGGGGTCGCGAGAGGGGGTTGCAGAGAGCTGAGGGCTGAGAGCAGGTGTCCCGCGGCGGGGCCTGGGATACCGCTACACCTCCCCTCTCACGCTCACTCACGGGCCCTGGGACGCGTGGCCAGAGGGCCCCGGCTCCGTGGCGGGTCTCAGGCTCTGCCCCTGACCACCCCACATCCCGCAGAATGACTTCCACCGCGCCATCCTGCGCTCGCAGTCGGCCATGTTCAACCAGGTCCTCATCCTGTTCTGCACCCTGCTGTGTCTGGTGTTCACGGGGTGAGTGCGCCCGGCAGGGGTCCCACCAGCCCTCCCGATGGCCCTCGCCTTGGTGTCCAAGAACTCAGAAGGGCCCCGCCGTGGCCGGTGGCAGTCCGGCCCAAGGCCCGGGGGGCGGCCCAGAGCCCACACTCCCAGGGGGCCGGGGGCCTGAGCCCAGCTCCTCTAGGAGGAGGCAGGGGTCAGGCCGTGCCCGGTGCTGGTGAATCTAATCACCACCTCCTGTGCCCCGGGCAAGGATGCGGGACAGGCACCAAGGCCTGGGAAGGAGAGAAGGAGGGCCATGTGCTTCCTGCCTCCCCTTCCCCACACCCTACCAACACACAGAGCTCAGCGGGGCAGGACCCGCATCCACAGGGTGGAAATCCCCCGGGTGACTCAGCCCGCTCTCTCCCGGCGCCTGTCCCCCTGGGGGAGGGTCTTTGAGCCTGTCTCTGTGCTAAGCACCCCACGGTGGGTGCTGTGGGCCCCCTAGGCCCTGCCAGCAGCACCTTCTGTCTGGGGACCGGGACTTGGGGGTCACAGGCATGGGAAGCAGGGCTGTCCAGTTCTGAGCGCGAGAGGGGTTGGGCAAGCCCCACGCCCTGTCTGACCTCCTGGGTGAGGAGGAGGCTCAGAGGTGGGGTGGCATGTGGGGGCTCACAGCCGGGGGCACACCCACCCCCACTGGCTCCCAGGCCCACACTCAACCAGCGCAACTCCCCATCCAACCTCGGGGTGCATTTTCCAGGGGCCTCGAAAGAGCTGTGGGCTGGAAAGGCAATGTCCAGGGGGAAATCCGAAGAGCTGGGCTGTGTGGGCTCTGGCAGACGGGGAGGGGGGGCAAGCGCCGGAAGCCCACATGAACTGAGCTGGACTCAGGACCACGTGTGGGGTGGGGGTTCCCCTGCCAGTGATGGGGGCACCTGGGCAGGCAGAGCTGCACCCGGGAGCTGTGGCCGCGGCCCCGCCCATGGCCCTCTGACCACCCGGATCTCCAGGACCTGTGGCATCCAGCACCTGGAGCGAGCAGGCGAGAACCTGTCCCTTCTCACGGCCTTCTACTTCTGCATCGTCACCTTCTCCACTGTGGGCTACGGTGACGTGACGCCCAAGATCTGGCCGTCCCAGCTGCTGGTGGTCATCATGATCTGCGTGGCCCTGGTGGTGCTCCCACTGCAGGTGCACCTCCAGCCCCCGTGCCCCCCACCACCCGGCGCCCAGCACGGGAATGAGCTATGCCAGAGACCCGAGTGGGACGGGATGGGGGAGCTCTTCGCAGCGGGCCCTGCGGGGCGGCCGGGGGTCTGGGGCTGGTGAGGCCACACCCAGCGGGGCGAGGAGCCAGGGGCGGCGTTCTCGACAGGGGGCCGCCGTCTGTTGGTGGGACGGGGCTGGGGGTGGAGGCTCAGGAGCGAGGATGCTGCTGAGCTCACTGCTGGAGTAGCTGCCCGCCCCCTCGGGGAAGGTGGAAGGGGGTGGTCCCCATTTCTTCCCCGTGCCCTTCCGCTTAAGTCCGCTGCCTGGTTAGCGCCCTCAGACGAGAGCAAAGACAGCAGCGTGCCCGCTAAATCTCCCTCCCAGAAGGCGGCGGTGGCCACCGCTGCCCGCGCTCGCCGCACGTCCATGGGCAGCCGCCGGCACCACATACGCGGGCTTCACATGGCAGAAACGTCCTGTCCCCGTCCGGAGGCCCGAGTCTGAGTCTGGGGTGTCAGCAGGGCCGGCTCCTTCTGGAGACCCCGAGGGAGGCTCCCTTCACGCCCTCCCCGCTTCTGGAGCCGTGGGGATCCCTGGGCTCCCCCAGCTTGTGGCTGCGTCCCTCCCATCCCTGCCCCCGTCCTCACGTGCCTCCTCCCTGCATGTCCCTCCGTGTCCTCTGCCCTCATTTTAGGAGGCCCACCCCAATCCTGTCTGACCTCACCTTAACTAATCACACCTGCAAAGACCCTGTTTCCACATAAGGTCCCACGGGGAGGTTCCGAGTGGACGTGACTCTTAGGGGACACGACTGAACCTGGCACGGTTGGGTCACTTACCCCTCTCGGCCCCGGGAGGCAGATGCCACTGAGCCAGGTGGCAGAGGAGGAGGCCGGGCCCGGAGCGCGTGGCACACGGCCCCCACCCTGCCCAGGGGACCCCCTCCAGCAGTGGAACCGGTCCTGAGCTGCAGGGCCCCGGGGTCTTGTCCCCGGAACCTAGCAGATGCGCCATAAATTCAGTGGAACGATCCCGTTTCAGCGAGCTAGTGGCGGGCTGCCCAGCATGGGTGAGCCCACCGGAGGGTAGCTGCTGCCGTTGACGGAAGCTGCGGTAACCCGCGGCCCCGGAGCTGGAGGGGGAATCGGCTGGAGGCAGGAGGCCGCCCTCACCCCTGCACCCAGCATGGAGGGCTCTGCGGGGTCCTGCTCCCTTCCCTGGGCCACTTGTGTCCGTCCTTTTCCTAATTTAGAAGGACTCACGACGCGAGGCTGGTGTCCAGGAGGCGTGGGCGGGGTGGGCGGGACCCCACGGCACCGAAAGTGCCCTTCCGTGCCCGGAGTCTGGATTTCGGATTCTGTGTCTGAGACTCTCCTGACACCCCCAGGCTTCTCTGAAAGGGATCTCGGGGGCCGATGGCGGCCCCAGGGTCTCATCATCACCTGCATGTCGGGAGTGCAGACTTGGGCATCGCGTCAGGGTTGCTTGGGGCTCCGGGGGCCGGGGGCTGCGACGTCTGTCCCCCCCATGCTCCCCCCGACCCACCGCCGGCCCTCTGTGCTATCCGGGGAGGACAGCTCCGCGTGTGCTGCCCCACTAGGGAGAGCACCCTTCCCCGCACGGCCGGCACCCTCGCGGCCCCCCGAGTCCCGGGGCCACCTGGGACGCAGCCGCTCTCACCTGCAGTTCGAGGAGCTGGTATACCTGTGGATGGAGCGGCAGAAGTCGGGGGGCAATTACAGCCGTCACCGGGCGCAGACTGAGAAGCACGTGATTCTGTGCGTCAGCTCCCTCAAGATCGACCTGCTCATGGACTTCCTGAACGAGTTCTATGCGCACCCCCGGCTGCAGGTGAAGCGCCCCGGGCACTGCGGGCCTCGGTCTCCCCACCTGTGCGGGTGAGTCCGCATTGACCCCAGGCCCGCCTGCAGGACTACTACGTCGTCATCCTGTGCCCCACTGAGATGGACATCCAGGTCCGCAGGGTCCTGCAGATCCCCCTGTGGTCCCAGCGGGTCATCTACCTCCAGGGCTCTGCGCTCAAGGACCAGGACCTCATGCGAGCCAAGTGAGTGCCATCCCGGGGCAGAGGGCGGGGCCCCGAGCCTGTCTGAGCAGGGGCCTGAGGTGGGAGGGTCATCAGGGAGACCAGCAGCTCCGGCTCTGTGCCCGCCGCCCGCCCAGGCCAGCCAGGCCCCACGCTGCCCAGCCCACCTGTCCTCCCGTGCCCAAGGGTCAGCCTGCCAGAGCTCCCATCCTCCCCTGCTCTGGTGTCCAGGGGATGCGGTGGGGTTCCAGGAGTGGCTCCAGGTGGAGCCAGGATGGGAAGATGGGGGCTGTGGGCAAGGTTTCTTTTAAAGACAAGCTAATAAGGTGACTTGACATAAGAAGACTAAGTTGTTAGATGGGACTTTCCAGAATGTGCCAGTGCATGTTCTGGGACACCCCAGGAAACCGCCTCATCACATCTTCATACCAGCGACTTCAAGTCATTTTTTGTGATGGGTTGTGGGTTGTATGGACCAAGGGGAAGCAGGAGACCAGATAGCCGGGGCACCCACCTGCCCACCTCCTGAGCCCTGGGTCAGTCCCACTGTCCCACCCGTAACGTTTCAGAAAGGAATCCAGCATGGAGGTGGCAGTGGCCAGGGGGCTCAGCCTCTTCTGTGATCCAGCACCCAGCTCCAGGGCAAGGGGCTGGGAGAGGCAGAGGCCTGGCAGGGACAAGCAAAGAGCCAGGGTGGGCAGGGTGCAGGGCGACGTGGTGGGGAGGGACCAGGCCTCCCATCCCTGGGGCGTGAGCAGTTCCTCAGTGCCCCTGCTGCAGCCAAGGGCTCTCAAGGGTGGGAGAGGAGAGCAGAATGCATCATCCATGTCCCCAGACCTTGGGAAGGGACAGGCCGGCAAGTGGGCAGGGTCCATCCTCTTTGCCACCAGCCCAGCCCTGGCTTAATGGGGTCATAGAGAATGGGCCCCCCGCAAGCTGGTCAGCGCCCTGATGCCAGGCCATCAGCCCAAGCGAGGTGGGGTCTCGACGGGGCCCACCCCTTCCGGCCTCTGCGTTGAGCCCCTGATGTCTGAGACAGAGCATGAACGGTCCAGGCCGTGCTCAGACCTGGTGCTTTGCAGGATGGACAACGGGGAAGCCTGCTTTATCCTCAGCAGCCGCAATGAAGTGGATCGCACGGCAGCGGTGAGGGCCCCTGGGGCCAGAGCAGGAGGATGCCTGAGGGCAGAGACCCTCCCCTTGGCGGCTGCTGCCCCATAGCCCTGACCCTGCTTCCCCACCTCAGGACCACCAGACCATCCTGCGCGCCTGGGCCGTGAAGGACTTCGCACCCAACTGCCCCCTCTACGTCCAGATTCTCAAACCCGAGAACAAGTTCCACGTCAAGTTTGCAGGTACGTGGGGGCCGTGGCTGTGCACCCAGGTGGGGTGCATTTTGCCAGGTGGGGTGTAGAGAAGGGCTGGAGCACCCAAGAACTCACAAAGGTCTAGCGGGGGACACAGCTGAGCATGCTCAGCAAGGCGTGGGGCGCAGTGGAGCCCACGCAGGTCTCGCCATATGAGATGACCATCTTCCCCCCGGGGCCCCAGGGTCAGTGGTACATCCAAGAGGCGTCTCTGGGCGCACGGGGGGCAGGTGAGCAGGACCCCAGCCCTGGAGCTCTCATCAAGCTGGGAGTCAAGCACAGAGGTGCTGGGGCAGACAAGGGGGCGCCCCGGGGAGGGTGCTGGACGGTGGGGCGCCTGCTGTCGGGACAGTGACGTCTGGGCGGCCACCTGCCCCCTCCTGCCACAGACCACGTGGTGTGTGAGGAGGAGTGCAAGTACGCCATGCTGGCCCTCAACTGCATCTGTCCCGCCACGTCCACGCTCATCACCCTGCTGGTGCACACGTCCCGTGGCCAGTGAGTGCTGGGGGAGGGGGCGGGCCCGGGGAGGGACGGCGCAGGCAGCGGCCAGGGTGGGGTGCCGGGAGAGCCCACAGGCCACCGAGGCCAGTCTCAGCCCCAAAACATGTTGGCAGCCCCCTAAAAGTCAGACCCTCGTGTTTACAGCTTTTTTTTTTTTAAGATTTTTTTCATTTATTTATTTGAGAGAGAGAGAATGAGAGAGAGAGAGCACATGAGAGGGGGGAGGGTCAGAGGGAGAAGCAGGCTCCCCGCCGAGCAGGGAGCCCGAGGCGGGACTCGATCCCGGGACTCCAGGATCATGACCTGAGCCGAAGGCAGTCGCCCAACCAACTGAGCCACCCAGGCGCCCTGTACTGAAGATCTTTTTTTTTTTTTTTTAAGATTTTATTTGTTTACTTGACAGAGAGAGGCACAGCGAGAGAGGGAACACAAGCAGGGGGAGTGGGAGAGGGAGAAGCAGGCTCCCCACAGAGCAGGGAGCCCAGTGTGGGGCTCGATCCCTGGACCCTAGGATCACGACCCCAGCCGAAGGCAGTCAGTCGCTCAACCAACTGAGCCGCCCAGGCGCCCGTGTTTACAGCTTTTAAAAGCTGCTCGGGTGACCCCTCAGGCCACCCCCCGAGGCTCAGCCATGCAGGGCGGGGTCCGGGTCGTCCAGGCTGGCCCTGCTGGCCTCCACCCATAGCCAGACGCGGGACGCGGCACGGCGGGGGCATCAGCAGCGCCCGGGGGGCAGGAGGGGCGGCCAGCCCTGGTGACGTCGCGGCCGCCCCGCGCAGGGAGGGCCAGGAGTCCCCGGAACAGTGGCAGCGCATGTATGGACGCTGCTCGGGCAACGAGGTGTACCACGTGCGCATGGGGGACAGCAAGTTCTTCCGCGAGTACGAGGGCAAGAGCTTCACCTACGCCGCCTTCCACGCGCACAAGAAGTACGCGCCCCGGCGGACAGGCGGGCGGGCGGGCGGGCGGGCGGGGGGACGCGGGTCTGGCTGGCCCCCTGAAGCTGCGCCCCGCGCAGGTACGGCGTGTGCCTCATCGGGCTGAAGCGGGAGGACAACAAGAGCATCCTGCTGAACCCCGGGCCGCGGCACACCCTGGCGGCCTCCGACACCTGCTTCTACATCAACATCACCAAGGAGGAGAACTCCGCCTTCATCTTCAAGCAGGAGGAGAAGCAGAAGAAGAAGGGCTTCTCGGGGCAGGGTCTGTACGACGGGTCCTCCCGCCTGCCCATGCACAGCATCGTGGCCTCCATGGGTGAGGCGCCACGCAGGCGGGCACTCCCCCTGGGCCTCCGTGTCCCCATCTGTCCCCACCTTCCTGCAGGGCCCTCGTGGGCACCAGGGGTCCCACCTCCGACCCGGGAACCAGCCACCCCCAGGAAAATCTCGGGGAGGGGCAGCCAGCCAAGGTCGGCCGCTCTGTTCCAGGGACAGTGGCCATGGACCTCCAGAACACAGAGTGCCGGCCGGCACAGAGCGGCGGGGGCGGCGGGGACGGCAAGCTTACGCTGCCCACAGAGAACGGCTCGGGCAGCCGGCGGCCCAGCATCGCGCCCGTCCTGGAGCTGGCTGACAGCTCGGCCCTGCTGCCCTGCGACCTGCTGAGTGACCCGTCGGAGGACGAGCTGACGCCATCGGATGACGAGGGGCTGTCTGTGGTGGAGTGAGTGCCGTGTGCCGGGGCAGAGGGGCGGGGGGAAATGGAGACAGGCCTGGGGGCTGCGGCCAGCGCGTGGGGAGGGAAATGTCCCTGTGGGCTCAGAGCCGGGGTTTCGCGGGAAACTGTGTTTGGCAAATGGAATCTGCTGGGGACTCTGCACAGACGTGAAAGCCGGGCTGTGCTGCCTGCCCCCTCGTCCCTCCTCCGCCTCGCGCCCTGGGCCACCACACCTCGGTGCCAGGCCTGCTCGGTGGGGGTGGCTGTCCTCTGAGCATCGTCTGTGGAGGTCACGACTAGGGGAGCCCTTGGTGAGGTATCCTCCAGGCCCAGAGGCCCCTGGCCATCCTGAGCCTTCCTCCTGCCCTGGCCTCTGTCTGGCCCCTTGGCCTTGGCCGGGACAGACAGGCTGCTCCCCAATGGCAGCGCCACGGCCAGGTGCCAGGGCTCCCCCAGCAAGGCCGTGGCCACTGCCCTCTCTGCTCCTGGCCTCTGTCTGGTTCCCAGATGGGGCAGACGGGCCTTAAAGAGGGACCAGCTCTGAGATCCAGGGGGGGCGCCCAGGGCGGCTGGACACCCCGGGGCAGGTGGCATGGCTGGCCGCTGGGGCCGCCCCCATGGGGGGCACGCTGGGTGCTGCTGGGGAGACCCGCCCAGCCCGGGCAGCCAGCAGAGAGGGGCCAGGGGCCAGCGTCTGCCCACGGGCTGGGGTGCTGGGGGCTTCAGGGAGGGCACGACCCTTGGGTTATGCCCGAGATCCCAGGCCCCGTGTAAGCTCGTGCGTGTGTGCACGTGTGTGTTGTGTGTGCATGTGCATGATGCGTGGATTTTCATCTCAGACCCTCTGGTCGGGGCACAGCCCTGCTTCCCACGTGCGGTCCCTGGGCAGGCACCGGTCCGCGGGGTCTGGCGCCTCCGCGTGGCCGCCCGGGGCACAGCCCTGCTGCGCTCTGGGGACAGGGACCGCGGGCCGGGGCGGAGCCATGGGGGGGCGGGCGGTCGGAGCCGGAGCCCCCGGGCCACGCTGACGGGAGGGCTCCTGTCTCCCGCGGCAGGTACGTGAAGGGCTACCCCCCCAACTCGCCCTACATCGGCAGCTCCCCCACCCTGTGCCACCTCCTGCCCGTGAAGGCCCCGTTCTGCTGCTTGCGGCTGGACAAGGTGGGCGGCCCCCTCCCCCGAGCTCTGCCTGACTTTGCGCTTCCAGGTAACTGCGAACTTCGGAAAAGCTGCAGGATGAGAAGGAAGTCCTGGGCCTTTGCCCGGACGCACTGTTTGCTCTCGTCCCCCATAGACGGGCGTCGGTTTCGAGGCGTGTTGTTCCTGAACCTGAGAGCGGGTGGAGCCCCTCCCCCCACCCCTGCCCGCTTCCCGAGAGCAAGGCCATCCCTCGGCTCCCATCTGGTCCACCGGCCGCCTCAGAGTGCGCCCCTTGTCCCACGGCCCTCGCTGCCCTTCACACTGCGGGCTCCCCGCCGGGACCAGTCCACGCCATGCGCTGCACGCAGCTGTCCCATCCCTTTTCGCTCGGCTCTCGGCCCTGGCATCTGGAGGTGCAGACAGTGGTTTGGTGGCACCTTCCCTGGGGGTCCGTGAACTTTCTCGTGAGAAGACTCCGCGTGTGCACCTGGGGCCCCATCTCCGAAGGTGACACGTGTCCTTGGAGGCACGAGACGTCCCTGTGCCGCCCCTGTGCCGCATCCCTGGGGGAGCTGATGTGGATCACGTGGCACACGTGGCACGCCCAGTTTCCTCCGTTTTTGCTTTTGTGGTTAGCAAGTCATTTGTGGGGAGAGCTGCCCTTCACCTGGGTGTCTCTCATCCCAGATTCCCTCTGTATCTGTTGCTAGCGTTCTGCTGTGAGGAAGTGCGTCCCCTTCTGCATTTACCCCTTTGCGCAGCATGGCCTCAGACTCCTCTTTGGTTCAGGGCTTATCGCTGCGCTTACTCCTGTGGGATTGCAATTCTTGGCCAGTCGTTACTGACTTCGAGGCTCGGACTTTCCCGTTTTGCGGGGGGAAGCCCTGCAGGCCGGCTGGGGCGGGGTGGGGTCCCTGTCGTCCCTGGAATGCTTCCATGGTGTCCCCGCCCCGGCGTGCACCTGCCCTGCTCCAGGCCTGGAGCGTCTGCAGGGAGCCCCGCTTCTCTCGGTGCAAAATGGGGTTGAGACACCAACTTCTGGGCATGGGGCGCACTCGGCTCCCGGGGTGTCACTGCATGTGCGCCTCAGCAGACAGAGCCGGAGCCCACACGCACACACACACGCACACGCACACGGCACGTACGACCCAGATCTCCTTTCTGCATCTGCTAAGATGCGGTTTGGCACAGCGCCTCCCTCCCCTCCCTGTCGGGACCGTCCCCCACCGCGGGCCCCACTTGCCGCTCTGCCCGTGGCAGCCTGATGCGGAGCCGCCACGAGCAGGGTGGGCGGGTCTGCTGGGGCCTGGGGCTCCCAGGGGGCTGCCGCGAGCCGTGAAGGGACCAGGGCCGGCTGCTGACAACCAGGGGCCTGTGGGCGCCCTTCGGTGAGGGGCCCCGGGGAGCTTGGCGTCATCACGGTGGCCAGCACTGCGTGAGAGTCAGTAAAGGGAGACCCCACAGAGACAGGGGAGCTCCTACCACGCGCCGTCAAGCGCAGACCCAGCAGGATGAGACCAGCCAGCCGCAGGGCAGCCAGGGGGAGGCCACCACACCTGCCCCTGGTGGGCTTTTACTTCAGAAGAGCCCCTCCCAACTCACCCCTTCTCCGAAAACCAGCAGGCCTCCCCTTCTCGGAACTGGCCCACGGCTTGTCCCGGGTTGCAATGCTCTCTTCTTCCCGATGAACCCGGTATTGCTGGTAAAATCACGGCGGTTCCATTTCCAAGGCTGACGGCTGACCCTGCCTCTCCGCAGGGCTGCAAACACAACAGCTACGAAGACGCCAAGGCCTATGGCTTTAAGAACAAGCTGATCATCGTCTCGGCGGAGACGGCGGGCAACGGGCTGTACAACTTCATCGTGCCACTGCGGGCCTACTACAGGTCCCGCAAGGAGCTCAACCCCATCGTGCTGCTGCTGGACAACAAGTGAGGCCCGCCGCACACCCCTGCCCTGACCTGCAGACGCCCCGGCCCCTCCCCTGCTCCGTCCCCAGGCCCCCCGGTCCTCGGGAGCACCCGCTCTCCCTCCCTCGCGGTTTCTCCTGTTTCCCACGCTGCGAATCCCCGGGGGGCCGACGCCCGGCCCCAGCACCTGGACCCCCAGAGCCCGGGGTCTCACCTGGGCAAGCGCCCCTGGCCCCGGGGCTGTGGTTCGCCCTCGGGCAAAATAAAGAACAGCCCCATGGGTCTCTAAAGGCCTCCCGGGTCTGATGTGCTGTGGTCCTGGGGTACCTCTGCTCCACCCAGCCCTGCTCACCCAGGGCAGGGCCCAAGCTGGGCACGGGGGGCGAGCGGCAGAGCAGGACAGGCACCCCCATAACCTGCTCTCCCCACAGGCCTGACCACCACTTCCTGGAGGCCATCTGCTGCTTCCCCATGGTCTACTACATGGAGGGCTCCGTGGACAAGTAAGGTGCCGGGCCGCCTCGCCATCTCCCTCTAGAGCCCACGGTGGAGTGGGGGCATCGGCCCATTTCTTAGCGGAAGGCCCCTCCCGCCCCTCCCCTCCTCCAGTCTCCTTCTCCCTGGGCGTGGGCAGGCCAGGAGGTAGAGTGGAGGGAGAGCAATGTGCGCCCAGAGGGAGCTCCCAGCACCCCCAACCTGGTGTTCGGCGACCCCTGGCCACGCGGCTTGTTCACCTCCCCCACCCCAGCCTGGACAGCCTGCTGCAGTGCGGCATCATCTATGCGGACAACCTGGTGGTGGTGGACAAGGAGAGCACCATGAGCGCGGAGGAGGACTACATGGCGGACGCCAAGACCATCGTCAATGTGCAGACCATGTTCCGGTGAGAGGCCAGGGGCTCACACCCAGGGCAGACGCAGCAGGGCCAGGCTGGGTCCCACCCCGAACCCCCCAGCCATTGCTGCAGCTGTGACCACGGGACCACACCCTGAGCACCCCAATCCATGACGTGGGAGCCCTACCCCGAGCCCCGCCAATATATGTGACCAGGGGACCTCACCCTGAGCCCCTGCTCCCCCGTCCGTGACCAGGGGACCCCTCCCTGAGCCCCTGCTCCCCCGTCCGTGACCAGGAGACCCCTCCCTGAGCCCCTGCTCCCCCGTCCATGACCAGGGGACCCCGCCCTGAGCCCCTACTCCCCCGCAGGCTCTTCCCCAGCTTGAGCATCACCACGGAGCTCACCCACCCTTCCAACATGCGGTTCATGCAGTTCCGTGCTAAGGACAGCTACTCTCTGGCTCTTTCCAAGCTGGAAAAGGTGAGCAGCTGCACCTGACCTCCCCCGTGCCACCTCCTGAGCTGTCAGGGTTCAGAGCCTGGAGGGAATGGGGGGGGGCTCTGGGGCTCAGGGGCCACGGGAGGCCGAGGCACCTGCTCTCCTCTGGCCAGAGGGAGTCAGAGTTGGAGACTCAACTCCCATGTGAGGTTCCTGTGTCCTCCCCAAGGCTTTAGGGGCACTGGTCCCCCTGGTGGCCGGGTCCAGGCCTGGCCGTGCCTGGGTTGAGGCTGCCTGCCGTGTCCGTAAATACCAGCATGGAGGACACCGACTCCCCATTTCCCGCGCCGCAGGCACTGTGCCCAAACCTGAAACATGATGGGTCTCAACCACCTGGCAGGTGCACGCAAAGGACTGGGGGTCAGAGAGGGGAGGCAGTTGTCCGGGTCACACGGTGGAGGGGAGGCAGGGTGGGAATCCACTGTTGGCTCCCCGGGCCTCCAGGAGGGGCATCGGCTAGCGTTGGTGCGGAGCTCTGGGGCACAGGGACCGGCCACCCGGGACACAGGCTCTGGTGAGGTCGTCCCTGCCCAGGCCACTGGCAGCACCCCTCCACAGCAAGGGGCAGGGTGTGTGCTGGGGTGAGGGTAAGACCGGGGAGCAGGTGAGCTGCCGAAGAGGAGGCCCGGGCCTCCTCGGGAGGTTGGGTGCAGCAAGCACTTGCTGTGAGCATCGAGCTCCCGGGCCTGGGCTGCCCGCCTCCTCGGGGAACAGACTGCAGTCTCAGCGGCTGACCGCACAGCTGCCATCCACCCAAGCCAGGCCGGCCCATCAGCCCCAGCCAGAAGGGACAAGCTGCCGCTTCACCCTGAGCGCTGGTGGACGGCGGAAGTGCGTCCCGCCCAGGGCCGGGTCGAGAGGCCTGTGGGGACCCTGGTGCTCCGCTTGCCAGAGGGACAAGTAGAAGCCGGGCAGGTGGCCTCCAGGCCCTCGGAGAAGACAGAGGGGCGCCTGCTCGGCGCAACGGCCAGAGGGACCTCAGGCACCCATCCCGTCCAGGCCCTCCCTGGAGTGTGCTGTGCCCGGCACCCGGGGCCAGCCCTCCCAGCCACTCTGAGCCTGTCCCAGCAGCCTGTGGGCTGAGCGTCCATCTCTGGAATGATTGGAGTGCACCGGATTCTGGGTCCAAATGCTGGGGCTGCTGCTCTGGATCTGAGCAGGATTCTCGGGGTCTGGGAATTCAGGTCTGACCCGAGCAGGGGCGGGGGTGACCGGCACGGGGTTCGGCTCCAGGGTGCTGGTCCCGGCCCTCACTGCCGGCTTCCCTCGAGCCCACACAGTCCCTTAGGGGCCTCCCGCACCGCCTGTTCTAGGAGGTGGGCTTCGAGGCGGTCAGCCTGCGCTCCCGCTCTCCCCTCCTGCGGCTGACGTCCCCCATTGACCCCTGTGGTGGCAGGTGCACCCCCTGCCCAGCTCAGGATGGTGGACCCCATCGTGTGGCTCCGTGGTCTGGGCCCGGGCAGAAGGGAGGACGCCAGCATGTGTGAGAAGCAGCCCCGGCTCCTCCAGGCTGATGTGGGCTGAGGCCCTGGGCTGCAGAGACTCGGGCTGACATGGGCGGGTGTCCCCGGGCTGCAGAGACTCGGGCTGATGTGGGCGGGGGGGCCCAGGCCGCAGAGACTCGGGCTGACGTGGGCGGGGGTCCCGGCCACAGAGAAAAGGGCTGGCAGAACTACGGGATGCCACCCCCCTCAGAGATGGTTGGAGCTGACGTCGCACCAGCCCCCATGAGTCCTGGGCCTGGAGGCCACGGAGGCCTTGTCTTCTGACGTCCCGACTAGGCTTGGCCTGGAGCCCCCGTGGGTCTCTGCCCCCCAGGTGCGCCCCGACGGCGATGGCCCCCACAGGAGCCGCTGGGCTCGTTTTTTTACAGAATTAATGGCAGTTTATTTTTACGAAAGCGTGCGTGTCTCCTACTTCAAGGAGCACTGGATGAAGAAGGCGGTTTTTGAAAGGGCGACCCAAGTTGCCTTGGCACCTGCTGGTCACAGAGCCGTGTAGAGAGGACCCGGCCGGAGGGTGGCCGGAGAAGGTGGGGCCTCGCCGTGTGGACCCCCCACCCCGTTCCGGCCGCTTCTGCCCCGCAGGGCTGCCCGTCCAGTGCGGCCTCCAGCCCCTGCCCCGCCTGCAGGAGGGGCTCATCCACGCCTGTCCCGACCTCGCCGGCCCGCGCGCACGAGCTGGGCCTCCAGTCAGAGCACTCGCATCCCTCCAGCACCAGCCACAGAACCTGCAGGGCCTCCTGCAGCCTGAGAACGTGGGCCCATGTTCCAAATGCCGGGGACCTTCTGTTAAACATGCCACAGCGCCGCGCCTCCCCGGCCCCTCGGCAGCCTCCCAGGACCCGCTTCCTCCTCAGTTCACAGGAGCCGCTCAGGGGAAGGAAGGCGCCCTTTGCACGGACTTGCGGGTCCCGCCGCGCACCCACGTGATGCGCCCCGAGTCCTGCACACAGACGCGCTCCTGGACTTGGGCCTGCAGGCCACGCGGCATGTGCCGCGTCCGGACACGGCTCGCCTCACGGGCCGGGGCACCACCACCAGAGCCCGCCGCCCGGCTCCGTGCCCCATGCCCACGCCCTGCCGCCCTCGGGCAAGAAAGGCCTCCAGGCGGCCCCTGGGTCTTCTGCATACCTTGCCTGCCTTCTGCCTTTGAAGCAAGTCTGGTCCCATGAGAAGGGGGCTTCTCGGCTGTCGGTCACAGCGAACCTTGGGTGCTAAGGATAATGGCCCCGAAGACGTCCAAGTCCGACTCGCCAGGGCCTGGGCAGAGTGTGGTGCGCAGTCGAGGGACCTTGTGGACCGGAGAGGGTCCTGCGGGGGCCCAGTGTCCTCACCGGGGACCTGCCAGGCAGGAGGCGGAGGGTCAGAGTTCGGCAGGTGCACTGTGCTGGCTGTGGGGCAGGAGGGAAGGGCCACGAGTGGAGGGACGCGGTCAGCTTCTAGAAACGAAACAGGAAAGGACTGTCCCCTAGAGCTGCCGGGAGCGCGGCCCCCCTGGCGCCTTCATCCCACGCCGTTGGGCCCCGACGTCCGGAGCTGGGCGAGGGTGGATCTGTGTTCCTGAAGCCACGGGAAACCCCCGTGCGAGTCCCTGGAACTCGGTGCTCACGGAGCATCGTGGGCGCCACGGGGGAACAGGGAGGCAGGAACGGCGCACGCCTCTCCATGATTTCTGTGTGTCCCCACGCTCCACCGTCCCGTCCGACTTCACTTAAAAACACAAGCTCAAGGATAAAATCACTGAGATGATTTCGAATTTTAGGATGGTGAGCGCGGCGCATTAAAGCAAGCGTGGGGCCCCATGGGACCGTGCAGGTCCCACGCCCAGCATGGGATGGGGGGCCCCAGATCCCTCTGGGGGGGTGCTAGCTGGTGCTGTGGCCCGAGGTCGGCCGTCTGCGGGGGCACGCACACCCCGCTCGGCCGTGCGCCGCTGTGATGCGAGCACCGCCTGAGTCCCCCTTTCCTGCAGAGGGAACGGGAAAACGGCTCCAACCTGGCCTTCATGTTCCGCCTGCCGTTTGCCGCGGGCCGCGTCTTCAGCATCAGCATGTTGGACACGCTGCTCTACCAGGTCAGCGGGGTCAGGAGGGCAGGGGGTCGAGGGCAGCGGGAGCCCCAGCCTCCTCTCCGCCTCCAGCCGACAAAGCCCAGTTCTGAGCGTCCCTCCCTGGGTCCACCCCGAGTGTCCCCCGTCCTTCTCCTCCCAGAAAGGCGCTGCCCTGGGCTCTGCTCCCGGCAGCCTCTGGTCTCCGATCCCCAGGCCGGACAAGGCTTCCCAGGAGGAGGCTGTGGGCGTGTGAGGGGACCCGGCCTGTCCCCGGGGCGCCCCCGCCTCACTGCGGCCTCCCTCTCTGGCCAGTCCTTCGTGAAGGACTACATGATCTCCATCACCAGGCTGCTGCTGGGCCTCGACACCACGCCAGGCTCCGGCTACCTCTGCGCCGTGAGTGACGGGGCCGGCCGGGCGGGCATGCCGTCGTGGGGCGCACGCAGCCGGCCCCAGCTCAGGGCCGCCGCTCGCTCTAGATGAAAGTCACGGAGGAGGACCTGTGGATCCGCACGTACGGCCGGCTCTTCCAGAAGCTGTGTTCCTCCAGCGCTGAGATCCCCATCGGCATCTACAGGACCGAGTGCCACGTCTTCTCGACCTCTGAGGTTCGGGCCAGGGGGCTCCTGAGGATGGGCTCGCGCACGAGAGCCCGCAGGCTTCCTGCATAATTTGTGCCGCTGCCGTGTTTCAGTCTGGGATCCGGGCCTTTGCTGCCAGGCCCTTCTCGGGTCAGGTTCATGTGCCCCCACACGTGGCTGGGTGGCTGGGACCCCCAAGTGGGGCCGGGGAGCTCGAGGACGAGGGGCCCTGTGCCGCCAGCAGGAGCCACACTGGGCAGCCTGCCACGCGGGTCCCGAGCCCACGAGGGGCCCAGGCAGTTTCTGGGGCTGGGGGCGGGGGCAGAGGCACCCACAGGCACCCAGGCTGCCCCTGGTTTCCTTTGCAGCCCCACAACCTCAGAGCCCAGGTGAGTGGCCTCGTGAGCCTCACATCGAGCTGTGCTGACGGGTGCAGAGTCCTACCTGCTCTCCCCCACCCCAAGCCTGGGGGGCACGGGGCCCCGGGCAATGGCAGGGTCAGGGAGCGTGTCCCCAGGATGGGTCAGCCGTGGCACAGCTCCAAGACGGCCCCTGGGGAAGCAGGCTCATCCAGCCGCCTGTGCTCTGTCCACGTCCCGCTGTGGCCCCCCTCATGGCGGGGGGCCCCCTCCCTGCTGGTCTGGCCCAACCCATGCCCCCAGCCTCTCAGGAGTGCTGCCCAGGCGGAGTCCCCACGAGCCCCCGGGTTCCCGTGCACCCACTGAGCCACTGGCACTCCCCGTCTACCACGCTCCCCGCCCCCACTCTATCCAGTTCTCCAAGATGGGGAAACTGGGGCTCACAGAGGGGTGGCCCTCTGTGGCAAAATCAGGACAGGCAGGGCCCAGGTGGGAGCCATGGGAGCAGGGCCCGAGAGGTGGGGGAACTGCCCTCGTCCACCCAGCAAACGTGGACAGGCCTGGAGGCGGTGTGGGGCTCAGGAGGAAGGCGCTCGTGCCCCTGGGCCCTGGGGTCCCCCAGCAGGAGGCTGGGGCTCCCCCTCCCCTCACCCTCCCGCCCTGGCCAGTCCCAGATCTCGGTGAGCGTGGAGGACTGCCAGGACGCGCAGGAAGCGAGGGGGCCCTGGGGCGTGCGGGCGGGCGGCGGCGCTGGCACCCACGGCCGACACTCGGTTGGCGGCGACCCAGCCGAGCACCCGCTCCTGCGGCGCAAGAGCAGGCAGTGGGCCCGGAAGCTGAGCCGCAAGGGCCCCAAGGCCACGGGGAAGGCGGCGGCCGCCGAGTGGGCCAGCCAGCAGCAGCTCAGCCTGCACCAGCGCTCCGAGCGGCAGGAGCTCTCCGAGCTGGTCAAGAACCGCATGAAGCACCTGGGGCTGCCCACCACCGGCTACGGTAAGGGCCCAGGCAGCGCCACCCGCCACCGGGACTGGGACAGACACGCGTTGGCCGTGGTGCCCGGGGCCTCCGCTCTGCCCGCCGCCCCACGAGGCCCGTCGGAGCCCCTCTGGTGCGAGGACACAGGATGCCCCAGAACTGGCCCTGGGGCCCGCAGGGAGGGCTCATCCTCACCGCTCTGGGGCCTCAGTTTCCCCATCTGTAAAACAAGGGACTAGATCCAGCTGACTGAGCCCAGCACGCGGAACTCGCGAGAGCCGTGGCCGTAGGGCGGGGCGGGCCGGGCCGGGCAGGGCTCCCCCAAAGCCAAGGGCACAGTCCTCACGTGGGGATGGATTAGCGCCTCTGGGATCAGGCACACGCGGGTGCGCTGTGTTCTCGTGGAGAACGGGAATGTGGCGGGGAGACCCCGTAGCCCCCGGCCACCCCCCCCGCCCCCGCGGTCTTCCCAGCAGCCAGAGCGTATGGGGCACGTCAGGGGGCAGCTGGGCCCGTGGCCACATCGGGCCGCACAGCAGCTCCTGAGACAGTCACCGCTTCTGCTGCTTTGTGGCCGCACCCCCAGACCCTGGCAGCCCCTTCTCTCTGGGGCTTATTTTGGGGAGAAGTCCATGACCTTGGCCAAGAGCAGAGCCGGAGGAGAGGCGCTCCTTCCCACGCCCACTCTGGAGGTGCTGCTCCTGTCGTGGGCTGGAGGGGAGCGCAGGCTCTCCGCCGCTCCCGTCTGCACCCACACCGCGCCGGGCCGAGCCTCTGGCGGGTATTGGGTCACGTCTCGGGGACTCTGCCTGTGAGTCGGGCTTGGCTGTCCCACCGCGGGCATGGGCTCTCCCCAGCCCGCTTCCTGCGCCCCCCTCCAGGTGGGACCAGAGGCCAGAGTCTGGGGGCCAACCCCGCCCCCACCATGCCGAGCTGCACGGGTCACCTCCGTCCCCCTCCGCGTCCCTGCCCCTCCGAGCAGTGTGCCTCCGGCCCCACGGCCAGGAGCAGCAGATAGGGATTCGGGCCCGCCAGCCCTAGAGCTGGCACCTGTCCCATGTTCCCCTTGACCTCTGCAACCCCCCCGCCCTCCCCAGAGCTTGGCAGAGAAGGAACCCATGTTGCCGCTGACGGGCTTGCTTCCCCGGTGGCTGGCGCCGGCTGCTGCCGGTCCCCGAGTGCACGGCCCCCCGTGTGCGGCTGGCTGCCCCCCGCCCCCCGCCGCTGTGCCGGCCACCGCGCGCTGCTTGCTGACCTCTCTCTCTCTCTGTTTCTGTCTGTCCCTCTTCCTGTGTGTCCCATAGAGGATGTAGCAAATTTAACAGCCAGTGATGTCATGAATCGGGTAAACCTGGGATATTTGCAAGGTAATTCTGCTCCGGCGGACTTCGGCTGCCACACGAGGGGGCATGCCAGCCGTGGCCGCCGGGCCGCCTAGGGCCCACTCCAGCCGGGCAGGCGGACAGAGAGTAGACAGGAGAGGGCCCCCGTGCTCCCAGATCACCCCCATGCACGGCCCTGGACACCCTCGTCCTCTGTGTGTGGAGGACGGGACTGACCCCGGGAAGGCACCCTGACGGTCACTGCGCCCCGCTCGGGGCTCACCCGGTCCTCCTGCTCCCGTGTGCTCTGAGGGTAAGCCCCGCTGTCCGCGTCTGCCCTGACTGTATGGTGGCTGTCGGCCTGCAGCTGGCCCGAGATGCCAGGGACCCTGACCCCACCCAGCTCCGGGGAAGCATCCAGACGGATGGTTCCGAGCCTGGGTCCCACGCACGTGCACACAAACGGGGGAGCGCAGTGAGGCCTGGGCCGGCGGCTGGGGAATTGGGGTCTGCTCTGTCCTGGGCCTTTGTGAGCCGCCCGAGTCAGGTGGACCTTCAAGAGGGGGATCTCCCTCTCCGGCTGAGACAAAGCCTGTCCATACTCCCCTTTCTCATCCGGGGCTCAGGTTTCTTCCAAGAGGATGCCCCGCACCCCCAGATCTGCCCTGAGAGCCCAACCAAATCCAGAGTAGCGTCCAGGCCATGGTCCCTGCTGCCAGGACCCCTTCCTTCCCTGGGAGCTCCTCACGGCCCTAGAGAAAGCTCCACGCTGGCATGCCCAGGCGCCTTGGGGCAGCCCCTTCGTCCAGGGCTGACCCCAGAGGGGACGGTTTTCCTGGGCTGGAAGCCGTCTGGGGCAGTCGCCCAGGCCCGGGAATGAAAACCTCGGTGGCTCACAGCCCAAGGGTGCTGAGCGGGGCTGGCCCATCGGGGCCCATGGCGGCAAGGCATCAGCCCCTCCTGGGTTCTTAGGCTTTTCCTTAACCTGAAAGTCGGGATGGCATTCCTGGAAGACCCACAGGGCCAGCATGGATCCAAGTCCAGCAGCTTCCAGGAACAGGGTGGCCGCGTCGTCCCCTCCCTGCACCCAGCTGCACCCTTGCTTTCTGCTGAGGCTGAGGGCCCCCCATATGTGGACGTTGGGAAGCACCTGGGGCCGGATGCAAAACCAGAGGAGAGGGAAGCCCGTTAGCCAGGCCCCCAGGGAGGGTATCATCTGGCAGGCAGCCCACTGAGAGCGCAACTGTCCACCTTCACCCCTGCTCGCCACCACCCTTGAGGGAGGTGGCTGAGGCTTGGCTAAGTGCCGGGCTGGGGGGCAGTGAGTGCAGACCCCGGGGCATGGGGTGGGGAGGGGAGTGGAAGCATCTAGTCTACAGGGTCGCTGGAAGGTCTGGGATAGTAGGGGTGCAGGGATGGGGGGCAGGGTAAGGTGACACCTCCCTTGGTCATCTGCCAGGAGAGCCATCATCAGCCCCCTGCCCCCGCCTGCGCACAGTGGTCACGGTGAAGCTGACCCGTCCTGGGGAAATCAAGCCCCTCTCAGCCCCTGGCGCTCCAGCTGGGCCCCCACACCTCGCAGCCCACCTCGCAGCCCACCACCCCCAGACGCACAGAGCCAGGCCTGGCTCAGTCCGGTCCTAAGCTCTGCTGGTTTCAGGACCACCCTGGTCGTCCAGCTCAGGGGGAGACACGGGCCCAGGCTGGGGGGGGGGGCGCCCAGGAGGTGCCAGCAAGGGAGGATGGGCACCCAGCTCTGGCTGCCCACGGAGGGATGGCCCGTGTGCCCTGGGGGGAACCAGCTGCTGGCTCTGGCCCCAACACCAGCCCCCACTTTCTGTGCCCCAACCCGGCGTGTGTCTCAGCATGGCGCTCCGCTGATACCTGCGGTTGGGGGTCCGCGAGACCCACCTCCCTCTCCACCCGCGGCACCCCTGTACGCGCCACGAGGCCCACCCCGCAGACGCACGCGGGGCCTCCCTGCACGGCCACCGATTGAGCCCCCCTGCTCGGTGGCTGGCGGCTTCCACCAAAGGGCCCCAACACAGGCTGTGGGAAGAGAGCAAAGAGCCAGGGTCACCAGGAAGCTGTTCCTGGAGCGGACGCAGAGGCTGATGCCAAGAGACGGCCCAAGAGTTTGCGCGTGTCTGCTGGACCCACCCCCCCAGGGCCCAGCCCGTGCCCCCGCCTGCCTCCCAGGAGGCTGCTGTGCCCGACCCGTTGCTGCAGGGGGCACATTCAGCTCCGAACTGCTCGGCCCCCCCCAGCCTCGCTGGCCAACTGGCTGCTTCTCCCGCTTTGCAGAGAATCCCTTCCTCGGGGGCCTGGCTGGTACAGTCCTGCCAAGAGCCAGCGGTGCAGGAAGGAAATGACAGGAGCTGGGGGCTTGGGCCACCAGGGCTAGACCCCTCTGGAGGGCCATCCCCTTGATGGCTGCCCCGGGTCAAGAGGTGCCTTTACACATTGCCACATGGGTAAACTGAGGTCACGAGCCATTCGTGGCTCTGCCAGTGAACGCAGTGGCCGGGGGCATCTGTGATGGGACCAGTGCTTCTCCAGAGAACCCACTCTCCCCCCCGCCACCTGTGTGCCAGAGACTGGGCGGCCCTGTGGGCTCTGAAGGGGCCCCTCCTCTGGGAAGGGGGCGGGGGGCCCTGTGGGCTGACCCCGGGGACCAGGTTTTGAGAAACAGGACATACGTGCAAAGCAGAGAGGTGAACGAGGGGTGAGGGTGGTCGGCCTGGAGGGGGAGGGGCAAGCGGGGGGCTGGGTCAGACGTGTGTGGAAGCGTGCGCGCACACGCGGGTTTGTGCAAGCGGCAGGTGTGCTCGAGGCCACCACGTTGGAGATGCTGGCTGCCCAGGGTGTGGGTGGCCAACCCCTGCCCATGCCGGGCCCGCGGCAGGTAACCCCGTCAGGCAGGGCCAGCCCCGCGGGCTGCAGACAGGGCGCCTGGAGAGGCTGGGAGGGTCCCGGGGCTCGTCGGGCGCGGCAGAGCGGAGGGGGTGGCGGCGGCTGAGCCGTGACCACCACGGGCCGTCTCCTTTGCAGACGAGATGAACGACCACCAGAACACGCTCTCCTACGTCCTCATCAACCCCCCGCCCGACACGAGGCTGGAGCCCAACGACATCGTGTAAGTCCCGCGTCCCCAGGCGAGCGCCCGCCGCGCCCCCACGCTGCGCACCCGGCGGGCGGAGGGCAGCGCCCAGGGCTCTCCGCCTCCCCGGCAGGTACCTCATCCGCTCCGACCCCCTGGCCCACGTGGCGAGCGGCGCGCACAGCCGGAAGGGCAGCTGCAGCCCCCGGCTGGCTTCCTGCAACCCGGAGACCCGCGATGAGACGCAGCTCTGAGCCCCACGAGGAGCCCGGCCGCCGGGGCCGCAGGCCCCATCCCCACGTCGGCATGCATCGCACTGCATGGAGCGCCGAGACCCTCCCCGCCCCGCCCCGGACGGGAGCCCTCACCCGGGCTGACGAGGGGGGAGCGTGCCCCCGGGCCCCAGGAGAAGCCGGCGGGGAGGCCTTTTTCACCTGTTTTTACAAACTTGTGCAGTCCGCGTCCCCACACAACGTACCGTAACTCGTGATGGGGCCCGGCTGAGCGGAGGGAGGGCCGCGGGGGCACACGGCTGCGCTGCAGGGGGACGCTGGGTGCATGGGGACGGGAGGGAGCTGAGCCCTGCCCCCAGCAGCCGGGCACACTCAGACACGCAGCTCACGCGCAAGCCGTGTTTCCACGGCCATGGACGGACGGCGCGCTCACGAGGCTGGGCTTGGCCACACGACTGTGAGGGTCTGGCCCAGAGTCGGGCCCCGAGGGGCTCCCCGCCAGCAAGTGCTCCACACTGTGTGGGCAGGGGAGGGGAGCCCTGAACACAGCAGCTTGGCCTGGGGCCCCCTCACCCTGAGGCTGGGCCTGCTCGGCGGGCGTGGAGGGAGGCGGGCTGCCTCGAGACGCCCCGAGGGGCCCACCGACACACGAGGGTTCCTGCGAGGACCATGCGGCCAAGAACCCCTCTGTGTTTACATCTGCGGGCGTCGGGCGGGCTGGGCCGTTTCCACGGGCCACTGGACGCCCGTTGGCCCCAACCTGAAGCACAACCCACCCTGGGCTGCTGGCCCAGGTCCTCGCTGCCAGGGAAGGACTCAGCATGGTCGCGCGTGACACGCCGTTGGGCTTCCTTTATGACTGTGACAGGTGTTGCACGGTCAATGCTGGAACCTTCTATTAAATGGATGTTTTCTGCAAACATGAGGGTGCACTTGTGTGCTGGGCTCCCGAGACCAGCAGGTGTTGGGGGGCAGGAGAGCAGGGCTGCCCTGGGGGGTGTGCACCTGCACAGAGGCGTCCATGTTCGTTTCAGAGGGGGGGCTCTTGTTCAGAGTGTACCCCAAGAAGCTGGGTGAAGGGGAAGGGTCAACACAGGGTCTAGACGGCGGCAGGTGGCAGAGGGGCCTGCCCTGAGGGAGGGTGTGGCCCGGCCGCACAACCAGCCCACCCCCCCCCCCCCACGCCCAGGCTGCCCGGGCCTCCTGCCCTCAGTGAACTTGCAGGCCCTTGGTGTGGCCGCGGGGGCCGGGGCCGCTGAGGAAGGGGTGCTGAGCAGGTGGGGGCCCCAGGGCCCTGCATAGGGTCCTGCCAGTGAGCATTCCCTCCCACACCATCACCCAGCAGCAGGGGCCTGAGGGAGCGGAGGGGGAGAGAACCCTCCCCACCCCTGGGACCAGGTGGGGCGCAGGCCGTGAGCCCCGAGTTCGCGGTTACCAGGACGGGTGGCAGGGCTGCGTGAGGACAACGGGGCTGGTGGCATGAACGCCAGGAGGGGTCAGCCCCGGGACGGGCGAGAAGCTTCTCTGTGTTTCAAACACAGGAGAAACTTCTGGTTCGTAACCTGACAGGACACTGCTCAGACAGGAGCCCCACGAGGTGCCGGGCGGGCGAGGGGAAGGCGCCATCCTGGGGGCGCGGGGGGGACACGCCCTGCAAAGTGGCGAGCTGTGCCCACAAGTGGTGGCAGAGGCGGCAGACACGGCAAACTCCAGAGCAACCCCCAAACCGTCTCCCAGAGTCCAAGTGATGCGCTGAGAGACAAAAGGGTGCGGCACCGTGTAAAATCCATGAAAACCACAGAAGGCAGAAAGCAGGATCACAAAACCAAAGACAAGGCCGCGAGCAGAACGGCAAGGAGCTGGGGGGTGAGCTCACCCTCCATGCGTGGCCAAAGGAGCCCCCAAATCATCAAGAGCCGTGAGCTGTGTCCGCGGGAGGAGCTCACGAACCTTCCCCGGGCTCCACAGAACCGCCGAGGCAGGCGGCCTCATCTGCACCCCAGTGCACACCCCAGCGGTCTCCCCGGGGGCTCAAGCTGGACTCAGCACTCTGGAAGCTGCAGGGGCAGGGGTCTTACAGCAGACGGGCCGGGCAGGGCTGCGGGTCCGCGAAGAAGGCTGCTGCGCGCCAGGTGGGACCCAACGGCAGGGCAGGCTGGACGCACATGGAGGTCTGCGGTCCGGGGTGGCGCGTGGGCCACTCCCAAGTCCAGGACCTCGGCCCGCCTGCCTGGGGCCGGGGGGAGGACCTCCGCCGGTCCAGGCCCCCAGGGGCAGCCCAGTGAGATCAACAGGAGCTTGGGGACACCCCAGAGTGGGGTCTCTGGCCCAAGACTCTGTCCACCAACGGAGCTAGGTCGTGGGCCCTGCCACATGTCTGCCACGTGAGCCCACAGCATCGCTAGCACCTTCCGCCTTGCCCTGGTGCAGAGCACTGAGCTGGTGACGAATGACCCTGTCAGGTCTGGCCGGACCACCCAGGCCTGGCCCAGAGCCTGGGGTCTCCAGGCCCCAGAAGTGGACGAGGGGCTCCTCAGACAGGGTTCCGCGGAGGTCTCCGGTGTGCCTGGCTCCCAGGCAGGCTCCTCACGGCCGCTGGCACCATGCCTCCAGGGTCCCTCTGGGTTGCCAGGAGGACTGTTCACCAGGCCACCTTGTTGTGCTGTCCCGTGTCCCGAGACGCTGCGGGCTCCAGGCTCGCTCTGGGCATCTGCCACAGCCCCCTCTTCCGTCCCATCTCGGGGTCCTGGCCCTTCAGGACAGGAGGGGTCCCGGGGTGCTCATCACCCACCCTGAGCTCTGAGGCGGCCCCACTGGCTGGAGCCCAGCTGTCCTGCTGTACGTGTGGGCTCGGGGGTCTTCCAAGGGGAACCCCTTCCCCCAGCACCTCCTCTGAGAGCTGGTGCTGAGCACTTGGGGCCCCAGCAAAGGGAGCTGAGATGGACAAGAGGCACCAGGGGCCCCAAAGCCCCTCTCCAAACCTGGAAGACAGGACGATAGCAGGCACCAAATTCAGGGCTGTCTTGTCCTTGGTCCCCAAATCCAAACCCAGAGTCAGTTGATCAAACCGCACACTAGGTCTCTGGGGACTTCTGCTTGGGGCGGCATTCCATTTGTAGACCCGCTTGGGTGGTGGAATCTCCCCAGCTGAGCCCTGGCCACCGCCCTGCTTCCAAATATGTCCTAAGTGACCGCAGCGTCCTGCGCACTTCATACTGGGCTTCTTCCCAGGGACGTCCTAGTCTTCCTGCTCCATGACCCCTTTGCACAATGCATTTCCTGACGCAGCTGGTTACGAGGGGTCCAGAAACGCTGGTTCACATGCTGGATTGTTACCGGCCACCTCTCTGGACTTAAATACTGGTCATCTATTCATTTTTGCTTTTCTAAGAGAACTTTCACATTTCTGCAAATAATAACCACTTGGGTTTTTCTTTTCCTACCTTTTGTTGACCTTAAATAAACAAAAAAGCCAGCTATTTTAGCAGCAAAATGAGTTTATTTGGGAATAGCAGAGACTTACAACCCAGGACGAGCGTGTAGGGTGAGCCACAGGCCCGTCCGGCGGCGGTGGCCGGGAGGGGCTGCTTCACCGAGTGCCCGCAGGCCCCCTTCCTTCTGCTGGGGATGGGGAATCCAACAGGCTCTTCCCGTCACAACGCAAGGGGAGACCCCGCTTTCAACGAGGTTTCCTTTGTTTACTTTTACACATCGTACCTCATTTTTCTTATTACGATGGCTCGGACGTCCAGGAACGCCTTGCCTGGTTACGGTGACCAAAGGCAACCTGGCCTCCATCCTGACCTGCACGGGGACCCCTCCTGTGTCCCACCGTCAAATGTGGAGTTTGCTGCAAGTCTCTGGCAGGTGTAGTCAATTACAGCAGTTCTAACTGCAACACTGACGAGTACATCTTGAGTGTTAGCAACTGTTTTCACACGCAGTTTTTCTCTTTTACGCCGTTAGTGTGGGTTACGCCAAGACACTTCCGTTCCTGTGATGTCCTCGTCTTCCAAAACACTGCGGGATCCCCTGTGCTACTTGAGCTCGGCTTCTGTACGCCCGCCCATCGGTAAGAAGCGGACGCGGTTTGTACCCCCGTGCTTTTTCCGGTCGGGGTCTGGGGCGCAGCCGGGCTGGTCTCCCCGACCAGTTCTTCTGTGTCTGGTTCTCTCATCGGTGTCTGCTCTTCACATGCTGAATTTCTTCTTCCTTCCGGGTTTTTTTTCAATCTTTCTTAATTTTTAACAAAGACGTTTAAGACTGCAAATTTCTGAGGATGGTTGTGGGAGCATGTAGACAATGACATGCAAAAGGATTCAAGACATTCTTTTTTTTTTTTTTCTTTAAAGATTTTATTTATTTATTTGACAGAGAGAGACACAGCGAGAGAGGGAACACAAGCAGGGGGAGTGGGAGAGGGAGAAGCAGGCTCCCCGCGGAGCAGGGAACCCGATGCGGGGCTCGATCCCAGGACCCTGGGATCATGACCCGAGCTGAAGGCAGTCGCTTAACCAACTGAGCCACCCAGGCGCCCTCAAGACATTCTTGACGGGAGCGGCTGACTTCATAAATACCACGGCCCATGAGCAGGCCACAGGGAGTAAGACCCGCACGACGTCTGCCAAGGCATAGCAGCTTCCGACACCACGAACGGGCGCTCTCACCAGTTCGGGGAGCTCAGAAATGCAACCCCAGCCTCACTGGTAAGAAGGAGGGGTCAGCGGGCTTCACTCCTTTCTGGAGGCCCTCAGGGAGGACCTGTGTCTTGCCTTTTCCGGACCCTGGAGGCCACCCACGTTCCCGGGCTCCTGGTCCCTTCGTCCACGGACAAGGCCGGCCACGTGGCACCTCCCTGCGCCCCACTTCTGTTGCCACGGCTCCTCCTCTGACCCTCGGCTGCCTCCCTCTTGCACTTCTGAGGGTCCCTGTGGCCCCCTGGGCTCCACAGACAAGCAGCGTCACCTCCCATCTCAAGGTCAGCTGAGAAGCAAGCCCAGTTCCTTCCGCGGCCTTACCCTGTTCACCATCAACCAAGCATAGTCACACAGGTTCTGGAGACGAGGCCGGGGGCGCCTGTGGGGTGGTCTCTCTGCCCCCCACATGTGCCAGCAGGCCTGAGACCGCCACAGGAGCACAGCGGGACGCTGGGGAAGGGGCTGCGCTCCAAAGGGTCTGGTCATCAGGCCTCCGCAGACAAATGCTACAGGGCGCCCACCTCACACACGGCTGCGAAAGCCAGCCCTGGCGCTCGAGGACCCGAACACAGCCCAGAATACCAGCTG